TTATCAGACTATCCATTACAGGTAGTAATGGATGAAAAATGACACAAATAATCATCCAATGACATACCTTCACCATTAAAAGTATCAGACCCTCATATCAAAAGTGACTAACTGCCTTGCAAGAGGTATTGCAATCAGAATCATTCACACCAACACACATAGGTGTAGACTGGCCAACCACACTCGTCAGCAAAATTTAATTTTTTAACAGTACCGTTACCATCTACCAAACATTCATTATCAGGGCAGTCAGGTTCACCAGTCATATCAACACTATTAGGCATCTCAGTTTTTTTTTTAACTAGGTTTAGGAATAACTGATGGCACCTCACCCCCAGCCACGTCAATGCTCTCAAGACGATATAACACCCGTTCGAGTACTTCTTTCGTGCCAACATCTCTTTCTTCAAGTTTTAAAATCCTGGTCTTCAAGACTTTCAGTTGAGATAAAGCATCTTGCGGTTGTCTAGCCAGTTCTTTATTTTCATCTTCCATCTCGGCAATTTTATCCCACAATTTACCGCGTTCCAGGTCGCAATTCTTCCTTCGGTGTGACATCACGAACTTTTTTATCAAAAAATCGTTTGGTTTTTTAATCCTGGCGTTTGCTCGCCAATTTTGCAGCGGTACGACTTTACCAGAATATGTGCTCGCCAATAATATAGTAATAACTAGTTCAGAAAATCCCGTGTGCTGCGCAGCCACACAAATAGATTCGAAGTTTACGATGCAAACGAAGAAACTTTATTATGCAGTGTAAAATCCACGCTTAAAGCAGATAAAATAAAAGCGACTAAATACGATGCTTACTGTAGGACAGCAAAGCAGAATGAGAGCGACGCTGCGAACCCACAGCACAGTTCACATATGCAGTGGTGGTTGGAGTCGAGTAACAGGATCTGACTATCGGCTCAGACTCCACACACCAATGCATTGCAATAACTTGACAATAAATATAAAACAATAAAAAAGAAGACAATTCCAGTCCCGCCACACAAGGCTGTACTGGGCTTCTCTATGCCAGAATTGTCCAGGATTAGTAAGAGAGGCCAGTTGTTTGAGTTTTTCAGTCTGGCAATCAGCAATTTTAGTCCGAAGAATAACCACGCCTATTCCGCCCTTATTTATGTCATCCTGGAGAACTCACCTACTTAGAATCTCCATTGGTTCAAAAGATCAGATAAAAGAAAAAAATAGCTCTCTCTCTATTGCCTGCATTATTTGCGGCGGTATGGTGACCGACCGTGCATTATACAAGACCTGAGACAAGCGAGTTTATTATTACAATCTTGCCATGCCAGGCGAGAGAACGAGTCATACTAAGATTGATTATTTTATTAATCGTACGTATTTCTTCTTGTCAAGTTTTGGCAACCTGGTCTTTTCCAAAATAAGTACCCAGAATGTAAACAGAGTCCTTTACGAAATTATTACGGACCGAGAATGATATGGACCTTTCCTCGAGCATCGAATTTCTTTTTCACTTCGTGACATTGGCCAATCAGCAAGATGCAAAAAGTGACGTAACAATGCTCCCTTTTCGCATCCGCTCATACACTTTTCTCACTCAGACAGGTTTTTAAGCGTGGTCGTAAACATTACCTCGTTTTCGCGTTTTTGAACTCTATTTGTTAGTTTTCAGTTGTGTTTCGGAAACTTAAATGTGAATCAGATAATTTGAAGATCACTCTGTTTTCCTAGGAGTTTTAATTTAATTACAGTAATAAAAAATACTGTAGAAACAGCTGTGAAAGACTAGGCTAAAAAAATTTCCGTTGCTTCTAAAAAACAGATTGTTGTATGCGATGAATCATGATGGTTTGAAACACATAACCCATTTTACAGGCGCCAACTCGCAAAAGCACTCTCAAAATAGCCTCGAAAATTTTGCAAAGGTAAGTAAAGGAAGGATTTTTCGGTGGTCAAAGGTCGGGGAAAGGTCCATTAGACCAATGGCCCGTTGGTTGATGCAAAGGATCTGTTTTGTTCCTATTTATTGCCTAGCCTGTAGAAACATGGAAAAAATCTAATTCTTCAATAATATCATCTACAAACGTTGCATCATCCGCGTACTGGTCCAGCTTATGTTCGAATTTACCAATCTGAATATCTTTAATTATATTATTATCAATTATTGTCCGATACAGGGGCTCCATATTGATGAGCATACTCGGGGGACATCTTTGACGAATACCCCTGAGTTTGTTAATCACCTTTGTGAGGGCCCCATGCACCTCAACGACACTGGTAATATTGGAATACATGGATTTTATTAATTTCAAGGCGCTCTCACCTATATTAATTCTCTCGAGAAGACGTAAAGATATTGGTGATAAACCATATTGAACGCCTTGAGATTATTTATACAAACTATATCAGGGGTGTCAAACTTGTGGCCCGTGACCCGCATGCGGCCTCAGGACACCTCCAATGCGGCCCTCGAACGCTCAACATTCAGGCCGCGAAACGAGGCCGTTTATTCTCAGTTTCGTAGAGAACTACCTGTCACGTCTTTTGATATCCCGAAATCTATATTGTCGAGGCACAATGAAAACGTATCGAACGCGCCACTCTCACCCCTTGGTCCACAAACAAGACACATGCATAAATCAGCTTCCTCTACATACACTTGGCAAAGAACAGCCATTTTCTTAAATGAATAAAACACAATTGATTCACATGAGTCACAAAGCATGTATCAACAACAAAAGGCAAATTGCTCACAAAACGCTCTATTGGAATATATCACCACCTTAATTCAAACTTCTTTATAGCATAATGAATACAAGATTTGTATGCCGCAAAACAATACCTTACTTACTTTTACGGTGCTTGGAAGCATTGTCTGGCGCGCTCGTCATCAACCACAATTTATGCATCCCGATATAGTGATTATAATTTTCCCTCTCACCTCTGTTAACAGTTTAAGATTTAGCAAATGGCCTCCTCATTTTTAAGAATGTTGGTTACTTTTAGATTACACAACTTCGATTACTGCTGTATGGTGGCCCATTGTTGTCACGCTTAAAATTGAAAAAAAAATTAAAAATAAAATAAAAAACTTAAAATAAAAGTAAAATAAAAAAATAGTTGTGAAAAAACATGAAACAAAAATAAAAAAAAATTAAATGCAAAAAAAAAATTGAAAATAAAAACGAAAATAAAATAAAAACGAAATTATAATAAAAAAAAAAATCGTAAAAAAACAAAAAATACAAAGGTTGACAACGATGGGCCGCCTCGTGGCCTACGCGCACAAACGGTGTTTCCTGGGTTTCTAACTCACTACTGATTTTCTTGAGCAATATTCAATAAATTCAAAACGAAAATGTTCTATAAATTCTCCATGCAACAAGTTCAACTAGAAGTAATATATTTATAATAATGATAAGAGAATATAGAGAAGAGTAAGAAAATTCGGGAAATTTGTTTTTACGTGTTGAAGGTAATTGAATTAGAGAATGCTGCTCAGCTGTCCGGACACTCTTGCGATACCGGTACCGTCTGACCGTACCTGTACCCATGCAATCACTCATGAAACGAATGAGAGATACGGATAGTCTAGCTAGTAGATTAGTAGAATATAGTGAATCGAGGGATGGATTGAGCGCAGCCAGTCACAGGTTGTGCGTAATATTAATTACCAGCATGGTACCGGTTATTGCAATTGTCGTGAGGGTACGGTACAGGTACAGCCAATGGCGCGTCAAACTTTTTTGCTGATGATGGTGTTCCTTAAACCTAACTTCAAAATAAATTTTTGGGGATAAATAAAATATAAGTTAGATGTTGGTATAGACAGATAGACTACCTAACGTGCGTGAGACTAAATAAATTCAAGTACCGTAATAGTTGAATGTTTGAACATCAATATTCAAATTAACCAACAAACTCACTCTTGTGTCACATGTCTGTTGTGATAATTTTAAGTAGACAACAAACAGGCTTGAATATTATGGCAACTTTCAAGGCCTAATGGTTTCATATCAAGAGTGAATATACTACTTTAATAACATGTTGATTGTTTATTTAAAAGACTTACAGATATACCGGTTCCGGTACATTTGAGATCATATCTAAAAATGTCTGACGAGTGGAAACATGATGAGCAGTTGGAAGCTGCGGTGAAGAGTTACGTTAAAGACGGATTAAAAAGACAAGAAATGCTTAATTTTCTAAGAGACAATGCGTGATATGGTTGGAGCTTGAGTACTTTGGATCGATGTCTGCGATATTTTAAATTATATTATATTGACCATCATGTCAATGACAAACCCAGGGAACACCGTTTGTGCGCGTAGGATTATGCATGACAACGTTGGTCCCAAGCCGAAGTAATTTTTCTCAAAACAAAAACGCGTGACAAGGCGGCCCATCGTTGTCAACCTTTGTATTTTTTTTTCATTCACGTTTTCTTTAATCTTTTTTTATTATAATTTTATTTTATTTTCGTTTTTATTTTTAATTTTTTTTTTCCCTTTTTTTTGTTCCATTTTTTTTTCTTTTTTTTTCAATGTTTTTTCACACCTATTTTTTTATTTTACTTTTATTTTAATTTTTTTCATTTTTTTTTCATTTTTTTTTTCAATTTTAAGCGTGACAACGATGGTCCACCATACTACTGTTATTTCCGTGCCTATTTTCATTCAAATTCTAATGGATTCAAATTTTGGGATATGAAGTATATGTGTTTGGAGATAGTTTTAGCGATATCATATTCAAGCACCAGTTGGTGCATTGTTCAGTAAAAACTAGCAGTCAGTACATGCTATTAAATCGTTATCTAACCCTAATTAGAGTAAAAAACAGTCGAAAATCATTATTCATTCATTATTAAGGACGCTAAACGATTACTATCCACATTAAGTAAAGAATGCAGCTTCCCTTTGCTTTCTTTTTTTTACCTTGTGGATTTCATTGTAACTTTCTGCGATATGATTTCTTCGAACAAGTTAGCTTCTACAAAATATGCATTTTATGGGGATTTTTTGCAAGAATAGTATACATGAAATAATCGTATCATATGAAATGAGATACGGTATTCTTGCTCCTTTTCCTTTTTTCTGTGACAGATCTAGCGATACAAAAAATATGGAACTATTGTTTTGACGGATTCTCGCAAGATCCCAATAAAAATTTCTGGGTTAATTATTCTTCATTGCTTCTTCTATCCAGTTTGTATGACTCGCAACTTTTGTGAAGAATTCAGGTGTCTTTCCATCACATTGAGCTCCAAAACTGCTGATGCCAACTTGAACCCAGCAAACGCTGCCATCTTGTTGAGTTATCTGACAACAATGCGTTATGTTCAATAGATTTGATAGAAGGAATGAGATTAAATGATCTATTGTTTTAGCTCTATACTAATTACAAATAAGGACGAGATGGAATCGCATGAAGTATCACAAATTTTATTTTGTCTTTTTTCATATTCCATAGAAACAGTCCGATGAGGTTATGATAGGACACCGATTTACATAGATACGTCAAATTGTTGCTGCGTATAAATCAGAAATCCAATTCTGGGGAATTTTGAGTACAGAAACAGTACTGAGAAATATTTTGCTCGTATCGCTTAAGTAAGGTTCCCGAACATTCGATTACATTACATGACAGTAAGGTATATGAACAACAAATGTTGAAGTTATTTAATGTAACATAGAGATGCCATATAACAACAAATCCACCTTCCTCACGACAGGTCCCCCACCATCTCCTTTGCAACCTGTCATTACTTTATGTGGTACTGGTGAAACGGTACAGAAGGTTGAACTATACAATTCGAACGAATCAACTTTATAAAAGAAATTGATGTCGTTTAATCCTTTTTGGCAACTGAAATAATTTAATCCTCATAAGTTATATCGAAAACAACAAGGAATTTTATTTTGAGATATTGAAAATGTATACCGAATAATAAGATAACAACTCATATATATACTGATGATTTTTAATAATTTTTATTAGATTGAATCTAGTTTTGTTTTTTGTGTTTCTGCCTATACTATAGATAGACTCTATAGTCTGAGTACTATAATAGAACGAGCTCAGTTACCTGTTTTTATCACCCAATTCCAAAACAACATGTTGAAGACGATCTGGAAAACTTCCAATATCGTAATCGGTTTCATTTGTTCCAAACCCGGTCAAAACAATTTTGATCCCTGGCTTAACGAGGAATTCACCTTGATGAATCAACAAAATGAAAATTTATGTTAGACATTGCTCAAATAGTTGACCCCCCTAAAGTATCAACAGCACACGAATTGAGCTTGAAATTGTGCTCAACAAGGCTGGAATGTTACTCAAATTTGAATAACCTGTTATCCACTCATTATCCGGTAGTTGAACACAATTTCAAAACTGACAATTTTTATTATACACTTGATTGTAAGCGTGATTTCGGGGTGAGCCGGATCTCTGACGCAATATATGAGTAAATACAAAAACATATAGACGTTGTAGCTACCTTCTGCTTCACATTTTTTTTCCATGTCCCACCCACTCTTAAAATTGTAACCGATGTGACTACTTGTCACACACTTCTGTGTACAGGGAAGGCAAACCGGTCGCACAGCAGCATTAAACGTTATCTCCTTTATATTGACGAAAGGAACAGTAGATCTTGGGAATAATCTTTCACCCACTTTCAACTAAATATAACTTGTAATAGGTAAAACAAATATATGGCTCGATTATAATGATTTGCATCGTTTTGACATTATAATTCAAGTCCAAAGTGTAGTCTTCACACCAAAAAGTAAATTAGACAATTTCCAATACTTGTTCCACTGTTCTGAGTAAAAGGTAAATATATATTTGACACAATTGATTAAAATAATCATATAAAATGGGATTCATACAAGAAACGTGACATATTTGAGACACCAACTTTATACCCCTCTCTCATTGCTGAATATGATATGAGGATAGAGTGCGAACTTACCAGGGCAATGTCATTTTCAAAAGTAAACTTGTTGAAATTTTCGTGCAGAATATATTTTGAAATTCTGAACATTTGTACGGTGTCCTTTATTGTGTTTTTTACAGATGAACGACTAGAAACTCATTGGAAAACAAAATGAGCGAGTTCAAATGGACTTTTGAAGCTTTGTAATTTAAACCAATAAAGTCAGTAAGGAAGTTTAGAATTTATAAACTCGCACTCCACTCCTCAATTCTATTGCAAATATTCTATTGAAGCATTAATCTATTAATAAACGAATCGACAATGTCTAATTTGTTTGTCAACCAGGGTCTTACTTCCAAATGAGTTGCACTAATACATTCAATATCAATGTTATGTTTTGCCTATATACCTATATATATAATTAGCAAGATGCTGACCACCCGCTCACAAAAGTGGCGAGCTTTGTTCCACTCCGAACGCTTGCTTCATTGTAGTTTTTGCTTTGACATGATAACTTGCTATTTCGAAACGGACAGCCGTATTAGCACTAGGTCAGTGCTCTTCACACTTTTTGTTATTGCGGAACCCCTGATATCATTTTTCGTTTTTATGGGAACCCAAATAACAAAAATGCTGATTTACACAAATGGGTATTGGGAAATTGACACGGAAGTTTTAATTTTTCTTTTGCAACGGCTGTAGCCTCTTTGTAAAAAGAAATCCAAAAATATTCCCTCCCATGTTTTTCAAAGTTTTCCTCCGTATTAATAACATTAAGGATATCTGAGAGTTGGAAATGAAGAATAATCCTTTTTCGAAACTCTACTGGCCCAGCAGTCAATTTTTTCTTTGCGTGGAACCCCTAAGGAATCCTATAAACTAACGGAACCCCACTGCATGTATTGCGGAACCCTAGGGTTCCGCGGAACCCCTGTTGAAGAGAAATGCACTATGTAACAGATTTAAAGATTTATTCGTATTGAGAAATTCAAATAATCGCCACAAACGAATAAAGTCAATTATTCCAGCGCAGTTTTCGCGTATAGTGATTATTATATATATATAAAATGACAGTTTATTTGTAAATTTTGGGATCAGGCCTTGGAGTTTTATTCAGAAACACCAAAACACTAGGTTTAAAGCACAATACAACACGGTATACTCGCTTACTAACCAAGTGCAATGACGTGATGACGGTCAAAATCTTCAGGAATCAGGTGTTCAGTTACATGTGTCACAGTTAATATCCACTGTTTGTTTATTATTGTTCCAGCTGTTATCAGTTCCCATCGCCGTAAAGTATCAGTAACATTGACAATTCCTGGCTGAAATACAAGAAAACGTGAAAATAGAAACGGAGTTAGTATTGGAGTAAACGTGCACAATGAAAGAAAGAGGACCACTCATATCTGTTTCGATGTGAATTCTTATCCCCTTAAAATATACTCTCAAATATATATTTTTAATATTGTATGCCGAGAACATGTTCAATACGTTCTTAAAAATTGTGCAATTCTGTATTGTGAATTAGAAAATCGTTTTTTGCAAGCTCAATAATATTTTGTATTTGGACACCAGTAGTGTACAAAATATATAAATTTGCATATACCATTTTTCCTGCAAATAAAATCGATGCCTGCCAAGGCCAAGCATTGTCCGGTGCATCATCGCCGCCTACTACTCTTTTTATCCGTCTGGTTGCCAATTGGTTGTGAAGGTTTGGATCTAGAGGCCCTGTTACACCACATTCGGAAAAATCTGCATATGAGAATGTTATTCTTTGCTTTGATTCATAAATTTAATATATATTGCAGGTGTATATGAAATACATTTACCATATATATATAGTAAAATTCACTTGAATGCTAATATTTTTAATAAAATAATTATGCTTTAATATTAAAAGAACAAAATTAACTTATCGATATTTTTGACGAATGATAGGACACCATTTGTAATGCAGTTCAACCGAAATAGTTTTCCAACATACCGACACACGTTGGTTCAAGTCCAGACCATTTTCTGCTTGAAGTACAAACTCTTTCATCCGGACCAACCAGAGTATACCCTTCATTGCAAACGTATTTGACAACGCTTCCGTAAGTAACTTTTCCTACAACGACGTATCCATTTCTTGGACCGTCTAATGGTGGACATTCTGCGTCTGTGGTAAAAAGTCTCTCATAATTTCGAATAATCCAAATATTATGAAAAAATGATGAATCGGGTCTTTTTCTTACATTAGACCAGCGTTTCCTAACCTTTTTTTAGTCGCGGACTATTTTCTTACCGGTAAAAACCTTTGCGGACTCAATGTGCGTTTATTGCAACCGTACTCTGTGTGAAGAAATAATAAAACCAAACAGAACAGAATTTTAACGACTTTCAAAATTGGAAATTCGCCGCAAATGCGCTTTTGTTAATAGAGCCGACTTTTTTAGTGTTACAGTTGTCTGAGTGTGGTTGTTTTCGATTGGATTTTGATTTTTAGTGTGTGGGGGAGTGCCTTTGGTCTTTGGGGGGTTATCAGGGATGGTTGTCTGTGGTTGTGTGTTTGTTGGATGAGGACTTGTTGGATGTTTTTGTGCCCGACAGTGGGTTGATGTTGGGACCATGTTGTTGTGTGAGTGCAGTGCCATCGTAGTTTATGTAGGGTTGGGTTTTGGGTTGTTGTCATAAAATTAGCTTTCATCAGTACTGTTCAAATGTTGTGCACATATAGAATTGTTTACTGTCTTTTAAAATGTTTGTCATTCATAAGTTATTTTCAGCCTGTTTTGCAAATTGTAGTAGCTAGTTTAGTGCACCGGATTCTACGGGTCATTTTGCTTCTATTGAAAGTTGTCTTTGATTTCAGGGTCCTAAGTGTTTTTATTGTGTACAGTATATGGTTTCTCTTGCTTTCTGCTGCCTGGTGTTAGTGTTTTTATTGTATGCTTTCCGTTCCATTGGAGTGTTTGGTTGTATTAATCGTTGCTTGGATTGATAATTATTAAATAGAACAAAATAGTATAAATTGAAGTGAATATTGGGAGGAAACTTGACGTTAGATCATATTGGAAGATATTCTGAACTTGGATAATTATTACATAGACTGCCGGTACGCTACACTAGAATAACGTTCTATTTGCCTTGTTTCACATAATATTTCATAAGTTACAGCCTACTTGAAATAGATAGAGGCCGAGTCAAATTTTGTGTAAAGATTGCCATTCTTCAAATATAACACAGCTTCTGTGCGGGACCGGGATTCCGTCTGGTGCGCTTCAGCGCATGCAAATATATCATTGAATATCCGTAGGAATACCGTTATTAAAAACTATCTTAACAACCCACCTATTTTAGCTGTATTTATAGAATCGTCTAAAGTCTTCCAAATCCAAGGCATTAATTTCGGAACAGATGTGTAAAATCCAGGATATTTTTTCCCACATTCCCATCCCCAACTAACGACACCAATTTGCAATCACTGTGTGGAATCCGACGATTTCCCCAACTAAACACCAAAAAATATATTAAATTTGATAGATTTTTTTCACTAATTCTCCTTTTGCGACAGTTATATAATACAATATGGATTGCATATTATGAAGATGGCAATAGACGTGCCCTTAGAAACTCAAACAAGGCCGTTGTTTATTCAGTGGATTTTCCTCTAAAATAGAGAAATCCCATCGAGGTGCAATGATGTTAAAGTCAATTTTGAACAATTCGAGAGAATTGAAATATCACATGAATCCGAGAAAAAACAATAAGAATGTGATGAATGAGCCGCGGTATCGGGGCCGATCAGTTATGACTCTGGCGCTTGCGGAATAAAACTCTACCACAAAACGGTATTTTCCCACCTTCTACATAAGTTACTTATATATCTTCAAGTAATGTGTTGCGCGTTGCATGGTGAACTGACTATCCTTCGATATGAGTTTCGCGTAATGCTACATACGTATATGACCTGTGTCACAGAGAGGTTTGAATAAGAAGTTGAGAGTTTATAGCAACAGGAAAGCAGAATCTCATATAACAAAAGTTTTGCTTCGTAAGTCGTTCGTTTAGAGTGGACTCTAGATTAGTCTAGAATATAAAGAGCGTAGTGAAACTTGTGCTATGTGGAACAAGAGTTTTTTTTTCGTGGACATATTTTCAAGTTGTAATGAAGATTATCTTCTATGTGACAAGTTACATATAATGAGGAAGCTGTAAATCAGGCATGTCCAACCTTTTCGTTCCGCGGGCCACTTCTAGATGAGGAAACCCATTGCGGGACGCGTACTGAAATACACATATATATATTTATATATACCAGTTCTGATTTACATTAGCATTTGCGCGTCGCTAAATCAAACGCTTGGATTGCACAAAGCTTTTGCGAATATCTGAACACGCATTTTCACGCAGTAACTAAATTTCAGAAATTTATTTAACGCAAAAATAACATGCACACGATTGCAAAGTACGAACAGAAAAAACAACAGTGTCTCCAAAATGTCGTGACCCACTTGTCCCACGTGCCCCAGTTGTCCAACTTGTTCCACGTGTTCAACGTGTCCCAGGTGTACCACCTGTCCAACGTGACCCACGTGTCCCAACTTGTAACCACTTGCCCCACCTGTCCCACGTGTACTACTTGTTCCACATGTCCCAAGTGTCCCGTGCAAACATACCTATCAAAACTAAATATAACTAGGCAATTTATCTCATGTGTTTATGTCCCATATTAAATTTGATTTTCAGAGTAATAATAAAGACGCCACCGTGAGTTTACGTTAAACACAATTAAGTAAATTGAATATTTTACGCAACAGAAAAGTCTCGCTGAAAAAGTCGTTTTTTTAAAGAGCGAATAATTCCCGCAACTAATTCATGAGGAAAACGAGATATATATGGCCAAAATATCTGGTGAATGAGATGTATGAAAAATGGGATTCATGTGGACAAATTAGCTGGCGAATGAGATATATGTGAAAATATAAACCTGGACGACATGTATGAAGAGAAAACACTTCGTGCTTTAATGAGCTGTTTTTGTTCATTGGAGAAACTAGATATATATGAACAAAACCCCTGCATGACATGTATGAAAAGAAAAACACTTCACGAATGAGCTGCATCACATGTATGAAGAGCAAAACACTTCACGAATGAGCTGATGTTTGTTCATTAGAGAAACCAGATATATATGGACCAAACCCCTGAACGACATGTATGAAGAAAAACACTTCGCGAATGAGCTGTTGTTTCATGAAGGAAACGAGATATATATGAACAAATCCCCTGCACGACTTGTATGAAGAGAAAACACTTGGCGAATGAGCTGTTGTTTCATGAGGGAAACGAGATATATATGAACATAATATAAGATAAGATATAAGTTTTGCTTCGTAAGTCGTTCGTCTAGAGTAGACTCTAGTCTAGACTCTAGAATATAAATAGCGTAGAAATACTTGTGCTATGTGAAATGAGATTTTTTTTCGTGGACATAATTCCAAGTTGTAATGAAGATTATCTATGTCAGGGGTGGGCAACTTCTCTAGTCGGCGGGCCAGATGTGGGAAAATGAAGTACTCGGCGGGCCTGATGATTACGAAAAATTCTTCGGTATCCAATCTTTATTAGATGCTCATGGTGATGCTCTGGAATATTATACTGTCTATCTTGATACATTTTGGTTTAAACAAAAAAATATTCATAACCTTTTATTTGGATTGATTTGGATTAATCAAGAAAAGCATGCAGAGCGGAAAAAGCACGCATGCTGATTTCCAGGTTTCTGAATCTTGCGAGATTTGACGGAGCGCTTTCACGATGAATCGGAACCGATGAATCGGAACCGAAAAAGCAAAAAGTGATTACTCAGCGCCAAGACGTCGCCGGGCCATTAATACCGCACTTATCAAACACCAATATGACGGCGGAGGAGAAATTGCGTAATAAACCAACATAACTTTGACCTATTATCAAGAAAAGCATGCAGAACGGTAGAAGCACGCGTGCTGGTTTCCAGGCTTCTGAATCTTGCGAGATTTGACGGAGCGCTTTCGCGATGAACCGAAAAGTATGATTACTCGGCGCCAAGACGTCGCCGGGCCATCCCGCACGTATCCAACAGCAATATGACGGCGGAAGAGAAATTGCGTAATAAACCAACGTAACTTCGTCTTTTCGGCTTCGGTAAAGCGATTGAGACGGTAAAAAAACAACAAAATGAAATTTTCCGCGGACCGGCAAAAAAGCCTCGCGGACCTGCACTGGTCCACGGACCAACGGTTGGGAACCACTGATCTAAAGCATATAGAACTTTTATTGTGTGAATGAGTTCTCAATAAAACATGCCCTCCCCCAATAGTTTTCTGAGATTACATCGAATTTTTAAAAGTATTATTTGACAGACCAACTTTTCTAATAGTCATCTTCAGTGTGAAACTTAATCACTTCAGAAAATAGGGTGGGAGTTGACCTCGATGACCTCATGATCGTATCGCTCTCTCCTGTCAATACCGAAGCAATTTTATCTATGTTATGTATTTGCCGTTTGTTTTTGGTTGACAAAATAATAAATCTGTTTATGTGTATATGGATTATGTTTATGGAATGTTTACAACGCTTTCTGCTTTGACCTTATATTGTTTGTTTAACAAGTGTGCTAACGCAATTGTTTGTTCACTAAGGCAATTGTTTATTTTACTAGCTTTCACTGACAGTGCGGTGAGAGTAGATAGGCAACTTTCAGGAATAGCGCATGATTCATTAAAAAGCCAAAATGGATACCCAAAGAAAATGTTTAGTAATCAGAGCAACCATCAAGATACGAAAGAAGAACTGAAACCGATCACGTCAACTACCATTCCATATGTTAAAGGACTCAGCGAGAAAATTCGAAAAATTTTAGAAGATGTAAGGATTAAAGTTAGTTTTAAGCCCCAAAACACAATTGGCCAACTACTTTCCAATGTCAAAGACCGCCCTTGCCCCAACAAGAAAAACGGCGTGGTATATGCAATCCCATGCGTTGATTGTTGCTCTATCTACATTGGAGAAACGAAACGAAGTCTAGAAACTAGAAGAAAAGAACATCAGCGTGATGTAAAACAAAAGAAATTTGAAAAATCGACCCTTTCGAAACATGCCCTTTCTACTGATCACAGCATTGATTGGGATAACAGCAGGATATTGGAACATGAAATTCACTACAGAAAAAGACTATTTCTCGAATCTTATGATATCAACAAAGAGAAAAATTGAACGAATGAACGATAAAGAAACTACATTGTTCCCGCATGTATATAAATCATTGTTTAGATAGTCGCGTAATTGTTTCAACTTGCGCTTATTCACTCGGATCTATTATCATATTGTCCCTTTTTTTCAGTTTTTCACGCCGTTTAATTTTTACTATCTTTTTTTATTTATTTTTCTACTCCATATATATACGATAGTGTACTCTTCATATCATGCCCTGATGAAGTTTTTCTGAATAGAAATTCGAAACGTCGGCAAATTATATCGTTTTGCTATACACCGGTTGTGCTTTATTTATCTTTAACTTTCAGGAATGATGCGTCGGACCACATTACAAGTGGTTGGATATAGTCAGCGGGCCGGTCAAAATCTCTTCGCGGGCCGGATCCGGCCCACGGGCCGTATGTTGCCCACCCTTGATCTATGTTCTATGTGACAAGTTACAGATAATGAAGAATTTGTAAATAATCCCAAAGTTGGGGATATATACCATGTTAACTTAAGTTCTGGAAACATAGGCCAGTGTTCAATAAAGAAGTACCTGTTTAACAAGAGGTCCCCCACTGTCTCCTTTGCATGCATCAACTTTTAAAGTTTTATTTGCACTTTTAGCACAAATCATCCTGTTTGTATATCGAGCATTACGATCTTCTACCTGGATTTTTCTTATCGCATCGACACATCTTTTTGAAACAAAATGACCCAATTTCATTACGACATTCCAAAAAGTAAATAAAATTTAGACATTGGAGTCGTTTGCAGTTTCATTCAGTGCATAAGGCCTCGACATCGGGTCACTATTCTAAATTGTTTCAAACAAAACCTTTGAATTTTAAATGAATTTGAAAGAAACTTTTTTATGTACTTGTTGTCACCCAGAATTTCCAATTCGCCTCTTTGCAATGACTTCGGTCGGTAGTGGTGTTCAGAATCAAAATCCCTTTTCTCTCCAAACCCTTTAACGATTGCTTTTTCACCTGCACTGACACCATACGGTGTTGACGATCTACCTGAAAATATATACAAATATATTTCGCGTAAAGAACTGCGCAGGTATAATTTGTTCTTACAAATTTATCTAATCAGACTACTCACTTTGCAAATTACAAAGCCTTTTATCGAAATTTTTCCAAATATCAACTTTTTGCAACATATCGCCTTTCATGCACGGAAGACATATCGGACGAATATACTGTGAGAATGACATTGAACCGTCTATTTCTTCTATATCGTGTACAAAAATATTTCCTTTCCGCTTAAGTCTTTTTCCAACTCTAATCTGCCAAAATATGACATCGACATGAAATAAAAGCCAAGGTTATGTATGAATTACATTTACAGAAAATTTTAATAAAAACTGAGAAAATGGTTTTAAATACGATGACCGCCAACTACTATATTTGTTAACTTACCTTTTTGATCAAGCAACTGCAACTGATACAGCTCAAATTGAAATACTGCAGTTTTCTTGAATTAATTTTGAGGTTTTATATGTTATGAAATTTTGGTCAGAGTAAGGCCTTGGTTGCCTTTACTCAAAAGTATGGTGATTTCTTACAAATTCCGAAGAAATCGTATTGGCATGCAAGAAGCAATTCACTGAAGAAGTTTCACTGTAACAAGGCTAACTGACAATGCGTATATGCAAGGCACGTGGATAGTGTTAAGTTGACACGTGGTGTGAGCAAGGATGAAAATATAGCGCTAATACTAATGGTAAGTTATAACAATTGTATAATGTACGCCATTGTAAATGTAAACCTTGCAAATTGACTGTTTACAATCAATTGCTGCCGCCTTCAGTTTACCACAACACGGTGAGATACATTAACCACCCTAGGCGCTATTCATGTTCTGAAACATACCATTGCAATATCGTAGTCAAAAGTCGATGAATCATAATCTTGGTGTTTTTGTATTTTTTCGGCTTCATAAAAATTGATTTGATCTGGAATGCCTTGGTCCTCGGTGGGATATTTGGTCATTCCTAAAAAACATTAGCAGAAAATGGGTGATGATGAATCATTAGATTAAAATTGCATGCTTTCATATTATAGCAAATAAGAAAATCAAACACTTAAAACCATCCTTGGTTATAACAATTGTGATTTTTTAAAACTATGAAACAATTACGTAGATACTTGCACAAAAAAAAAATTTGGCAAAGGAAACTTCAATATTTAAATAAAAAAATTTGTAAAATTTTTATCCATTTTTAATACTTTTACATTTTATACATACGTTTTATTTTTTCGATACAGTTATAGAGACTGTTCAAAAACAGAGTAGATTAAGAACAGCAAAATGTTTTGATCGCTCTAACAGATTGATTGATTTCATTTCAGATAATATGTAAATCAAGGTAGTGAAAGTACTTGTTTTTATTTAGCCAAGCGTAAAACATAACCTAATATAGACGTATATCTCATCAATCAAATACCATCAAACATTCTCTATTTATATAAGTTCCGTTCTTCTTGAACTTACCTACAGCCATTAAAAAATACTTTTCGGGATTACGATACGGAAGAATGTCAAATACATGAGCAGCTGATAAAATCCATTGGCTATTGATGATTGATCCACCACCAAATCCAGATGTTCTGTCATAAAACTTCAACAAAACACCAATTAATGAAATAGCTTGGCGTCGCTTTTGGGTCAGTTTTTTGGTTCCTTCAGGTTTTTATATCTATCACAACATGTTTGCAATTATTTTGAAATGGTGATTGATGTATAGTTCCAATTCAAATAGCCTGGTTCTTAGAGGAATATTGGACTGTCATATTAAACTTTACATTGTAGCAGCTTACTAATCCCCAATTATTGACACATCAATTTGAGTGCCGTTAATTTAATCTATGAATAACATTTTAGTTCAAAATTTATTTTAAGGCAATGCGAAATTCCCATTTTTTGCTCGTTTCGTTTTCTTTATATTTGACAGAAGTTTTAGTGGAAAAATACATTTTTATGTACTTCGATTTCGAAATTGTTGTGCCGACATTTCTACATATCTCGGAAACAAGTATTAGAAGATCGGTAAAGGACAACCTTTCCCATATTAAATTTCTAGTAGCGTCACGGGTCATTGAATACTGTACCAATTATGACATCACAGAGATATCACGTGCCTCGAGCTCAAGTTTCCCTCGCCTTTGCCGACTCACACTCAAAGTCGGTTTGTTATTTCAGGTTGCCCTTCGCATTTGGCAGCGTCTTTCTAGTTTGGGATTTAGGCCAAAGCAAGGCTTAGTTTTCTGAATTTACTTTGTCGTTCGTGGATGTCTATTTAAGTTTTTCATTGATTCATAGGCTGTTTGTTTACCTTGTCTACTTTGTAAACCATATTTGTCTAACAACCGCAGACTTGTAGTTCATAGCCCGGAAAATTTGTTAATTGAATATAAAATGATCAATATCTGAAACTATACAGTAAAACCTAACCCTATCATAATATCCTGAACCGCAGCGTGGACTACTATACTGTAGCTTTTTCATCCGTTTGAATTGCCCTATCATCTTTCGACAATCAGGTACCAAAAGAAATTGAATATTTCATATTGAAATCAATCCGATACATTGCAAGTCAGTGCCAGTCATATTAGACAGAAGAAAAAAGTCAGGAATACAGCCAGCTTCACAGTCTGCAAGCCGATCATTTCGATGAGCAGCTTCTCAGAGTTAAAAGGCGGGACTTGCCGATGCACCAAGGCATGGAGAATATATTTGTATAGATGATTCATTTAAATTAATGGGTGTCATAATTATTGTAAAAAATATGCAAAAAAAGGATGCATTGCTATACCTCTCTAACGAGTTTTTTATTCTTATGGAACAACAAAACTTGCCACGGCCATTCCCCATTCTCAGCATCTGTTCCTTCAATCACATTCCCAGAAATTTTAGGATGAGTATCGTAGGTGGAATGTCCACATGAACTAAAAGCTTTTAGGAAAAGTTTGTTAAAACAGTGATTATGAAACGTTCATGTAATGTTATACAGAAGTCTTCTATCTATCTAACTTGAGAAACTATTCGAAAAGTATGGAAATGTATATATATATAAGTATTTTACCAATTGAAAGCAATGTGTATAAGTTAGTAACTGACACATGTAAAGTGGGATTTATTGATATATGAAGCACTGTACTTATATAAACGCAAAATTGTTCAGTTCATTGAGGTATAATTTCAGAAAGAATACGAAACTTTGCAATGCGAATGTACGTTTAACTTATTTGAATGAAAACAAGTAGGGAACAACGGACTATATACTTCAGTTACCAATATTCCAAGCAAATATCGAACTAGTATGGTATATTCGAGTTCTGTACATTCAAATAGGGCATTACCATGTAAAAACAGCACCATCTTACCGGCACATTTTGGTTCGACCCCTGACCATTTCCTGTCAGATTGGCATCTTCTTGTTATTGGACCAGCAAGAGTAAATCCTTCATTGCACCCATACGTTATTGTGTTTCCATATGATATTTTATTTTTGATAATGTATCCATTTTCTGGAACTTTTGGTACAACGCAATCCGCATCTAAAATATGGCCTTTGACTTTCGATTTAACTAGCCACAAAACCACAATAGTCATGGTACCCAAAGATTAGTTGAGGACCTTGTTCTTTATTTTGGCTCTGATTGAAATTGTTAAATCGTGAATAAAACTGTTAGAATAACTTACAAAAACGGTACAGAATATTAAAAGTATTCTTCGTGCAATCGCTCTGAAAAAGTCTAAGCAAAAAGACCTTCTCTAAGTGACGAAATTAACGCAATTATGCACTTTTTACACTTGTAAATCACGAGAACAATTATACCTGGATTAAAACATGATTTTCCGCACCAATCATCGCACAAGCATCGCTTAAAACCTCCTCGACAATTTTGGTTAGTTATACAAGGCTTGCGACATTTTCTTCGTTCATCCACCCTTGTCAAATTTCTTTGACATGGATCAGCTTTATAAATAAAATTGTTTCATAAAAAGATCATCTTTAATTAGTGGATTTATTAAATTGAAAATACAAAAATCTTGAAAATAAATGAACAAAAATATAAGCAATCACAAATAACTTAATTTACTACTCCAAGAACTCAGCATTATACATTACCCATAATTACGATTGTCCTGTGAATTATGTCATTCATAGCCATATATGGCCATGAATGACATAAATCACATATATATATAACAGCGACTGAATTAAGTTAATTGAATAACAACTCTACAAGAAAAATACACATAATAAACACGTACGTGCACAATACGGTACAGGATCCGACCAATGACCACTCTTCAAACATGAAATGCTTTTCTTGGCTTTTCCTTTAAAACCCCTATCACAAGCAAATTCTAGAACGGTGCCCACTGTGTAGGGAGGTTCACTCGAAGCTATAATGTCTCCGTATTGTAAAAATCCTACGACTCCGCAGTAAACTACTATAATAATATAACTATGGTTATAAGTTTATACGGTAATCTATTCTAGAACTAATTCGAATATGGATGATACTACCATATTGTTCATTTTCAGATCACGTCGTAATTTTCATTACAAAATGGTCAAATATTCAAATAATTTAAAATAGACTTTCTATACAAAAACGAGGTTCATGCATTATGCAATATTTAGGCCGTATTCAACACCAAACCCATGTGTATAACTCTTAGGGGCCGAAGTTGGTGTTCATGCATTCAAACGAAATACGACATACTCCATAAAGGCTAGTTGATAATTTTGTATTCATCATTATATTTTTAATATTTTCTCAGTTAAACTTTTTCGAACAAGTCGGCATGATTCTAAAACTAAACTTGGTTGAAAATATTTGCATCTGACTAAATTTCAGTTTATATGGTACCTGAACCTTTTTGGAATATATCCCAGAATTTAAGTTGTCACATTTCAAGTTATAAATGAAAATTGTTTATGAGCTCAAAACTTACCTTGTTTTCCATTTGTTTCTTCAATATTATAAACAAGAACAAGAACTACTATTGGGATAAGCATGGCCCGCGACAGATTTAATAAAAAACTGTAATTAAAAACCAAAATATACTTATGAATAGTGTTTTAATAAAGTGAACACTTCCGCGCCAATTAAGCCACCATATGAGGTTGAGAAATTCAGTATTTTAGCGTCAATTCATTATAATGCACATATGTAATATTTGCATGTACTGGTTCCATGCGAATATATTACAGTACTATAAATAAACCTATTTTTATCACGGATTCCGCAATTAGCCTATTCTAAGATGTCAATATCTTTGGCCAGTGTATAAACTGCCTCAACCTTATAAAAAAAAAAAATACTTCTTAATAAATTCCATCGATCGCTGTAGGTCCTACTCGCGGAATAACAGGGCGATTAAAATTAAAACGAGCCTATCTAATCTACAGACACTTTGCGGCTCTGACCACCAAAAAAATTTTAGCCCAGGGGGTTTCCAAGAATATATGTTCTGATCGATATCACAGCGTTTAAATAAACAACACTAAGTCAAATCTATCATTTTCGATAAGTTGTAGTGTAACCATAATTGCTTGCAACCGCAGAGCAAAGAGTATGCTTCGTGAAAAACCGAGCTAATTGAACCTATAAATTAATGTAAGCAGCGGTTTCCCAATTTTAAAAAAAAGTTATCATGATTTACGTACCTATTATTTGTTCGCAAAATAAATTTCTACTGCTTCCATTGCACTACTACATTAGTGAAATGTTGAATCCAACGTCGTAACATGCGATACGACGTACAAGATAGCATCTCGTCACAGATTGAAGATAAAGTCACTTGAAAATACGTTTCAACTTTAGCTCGATCGAAACGCAACAAATCTATAATCGTTCTGCATTAGCTAATATAGTGCTCCCTAAAAATAACTTTGGCATAAGATGTTGAATTTGAGATGCCATCCATAATCTTCTTTTGGGGCTTTTAAGTAGGATCATGTGTATAACGATTATTGATGATCATTGCGGTTGGGGTTCGATTTGACCCCTATGAATTTAAACATAGGCTACTTGCTCAAAAAAAAAAGTCCGAAATTAATCGTGCACGTTATTTTCAATGTATATCAATTTGGCTACACATACCGCAGCCATATTCTTTCATTGTATCAAATTATTCAAATAGAAAAAGTTAGTGGATGCACTGATGATCATTTCTATCTTGAAACCACAACAACATTGCTACATTGCACTGAAATCGATACTCTTTCTAATTCAACTTGAAAAAACAAGCTATAAATTTAAGAACCTTAGTACGAAATAGTTTACCTGTATATATTCAGAATCGGGCGACTTTGTAAAAACGTGTGTCTGCTGCAGTGTTCACTATAAGCCCCCTTGCAAGAGTAGCTTGCAAAGTATTTGCTTATTTATTACCTCACTGGTTCCAGTTCATCATTAATCATTGTCTGTTGCGCTTTTCAAATTCAGACCTCTCCTTAATAATTGAATGGATGGTGATCAGCTTAGTAAAAGGGAAGCCGAATGAAAGTTCGTTTCTGTGAACTAAAGTGTGTTGCGTGGTGACAACCCGCATTCTAACTTCCGATTAGAATAGAACGAAAAAAATCGTTTGACGGTCAGGTGCAACTAGTTTTCGCGGTTAAAACTATATTATTGTACAAGGCTTGATTCATAATTGAGCAAAATAAGCACGTGCTTAGGGTGCCAAGTGAGGTTCATATTTGTACTTCAATATCAACCGGATTGAAAACTTCTATATAAATGTCTGTAGGCACGAAAATTACTTTCGAAAAACATCATGTAAATTAATCGTAACCTGGCCTTAAATGACTACTGAAACACCATTTTTATTAATTATTATATTTTATATATAGGGCACCAAATTCTTAAGTTCTTCTAAAAGGCATGGTCCGGCCCTGATTATGTATAGTATATTATGGAAGAGTGTAGCTTAAAAAAATACCTATGAATATCCCGCAGAATGATATTTATTCTTAGATTGACTGACAATACAATAATAAGAAATAATGGAATCAACGAAAGAAACGGAAGAGTATACATATTGTCAATCGTGTTCTACCGAGAGAGTGAGCGCATTTTCCTTTTCCGCTCTGAAACAGACAAGAAACGAGTTGAACTTTGCCGCCGACAAGTTAAGCGGCTATTAAAAAGTAATTAAGCTTACCGGTATTAATTCGGCGAGACGAAATAGTTTTATCTCGCGGTAGCTAAGACATAATATGTTTCCTTCCACATATTCTTTGATGATTATTGTTTTCTTTGACACGGAAATCCGAAGTGTTTGCTCTTACCCGACGGTTATTAGGGTAAATTTCGACTGAACACTATATTATTGCTCATTAGGACGAGAGTATAAATATTTGAAGCACATCAAAAAGGGTTGTAGTTTCTTAGTCTTCGGTAGCTTCCTACAACAAGTCGTCATAAAGTTAAACAGTCCTAGCATATTCACAACTAAAAATAGGTAATTTCAAGTCGAGGGTTTAAAAAAGAATAATACCGATAGTTGTTGTTGCTATTGCTGAAATATTAGTACCTACGTATCACGCTACTATCAATTTGGAAGTATTTTGTGAATACAGTACCAATTATGTTTGAAGGTGGATTGAAGGCCATGACCCGATCTCCCGAATTTCCGAGCAATCATAGAAGGCCACGTAAACGTAATATGATCATAACTATAAGTTTTTAAATAGCAACAATGTTTAGTGTTTTTGGCACACGAACGGTTTTTGCCCTTCGATGTTGTCTAAGGATCCTATGAAAGTTATCGACATAAACAACTTGGTTGTTATTTACGCTCTAAGAAATGTTCAGTAAATTTTACCGTCATTTTAGGGGTAAAAAATAAAAAATGAGGTCGGTAGACTGATTCACCGACAAATGTTGGTAATAACCCCCGACATTGGAGGCGTGGCATTAGTCAATAATGCGCGCGCACACTGGTTAAAATGAGCAGCCAATCAGACGCTATATTTCAAACGCGTAATTTATCACGCGCGGTTTTTTGTTGCTTTACTTTTTAATTTGTCCGTTTGATTGACGATTTCCAGACTGTTGGACTATGATATATGGTCGGCCGACAGTTATATCTTGGTCGCTTTCGTTATTACTGCAGTACTGCGTTGGCAGTATTTTTGTGAGGCAATGCATCTTGGATTCAATAATGTCAGTGTAGGTGTTGTGTTGTTTAGTGCTGGTTATTAGTGTATTGCCCGACTATGCTGTTTATTCAGATAACAGGTAAAATGCCACTAATCTTATTTGAAATAAAATGTAGATTCAGCAAATATGGTTTACTAGTTGACAATAAACTTGTTTGTTATCAAGTATATAGCACGGCGTGACAACAATCGCGAGGTACCGGGCTCACTACGTTTTGAACTCATCATGATCTTATCGATATCTTGTTTCTGACCGCTAAACTTGGATTCGTCTAGCTAGTGAACAAGCGTTTAGGTTTCGACGCGTTGGTCCCATTTTTGGAAAGCAAAATTACTAAGTTCGCCATATATTCTATTTTCTGTTAGAACCTACCCTTAAATTGACCTACAATCACATCGCTTCGGATCATCTGTTGGCGCGAGAGGTTTTTGCGCAAAATGGGAGGAAATGGGAATATGTAGAATGCGATAATTTTTGGACTTAGCATCTGTAAAATAAAAGGGTTTACTATGAGGTAGGCTACAATAGTGAAATCCAAAACTCGGCATACTGCAGCCTTGTTTGCAGCCACAGGTGGCGAGATTTTCTGTAAAACTAGTAAATATTTTGTTTATTTTGTAAAGAGTAAGATACACGATTCCCTATTTTTCCGTATGAATGACCTACTCAAAATTCTTCCAAGTCTACAAAACACATGTTCGCTTCATGTACGCTATATATATGATACTATTTTTACTAGTAGAGTTAATATGACGACAAAATGTTAACTCAAAATGACTATGGAAATTATTGTGAGTGATTATAAAACCCTTCTTCAAATTCTACCCAATAATTGTAAAGTTTCAAATTTACTTCTCGCGCGTATAATCGTGCCAAAAGCGTGCTTGTGCCACAACCTGGCTATTTAGGGTTACAGTTTAGCAATAGTTTACATTGCCCACCGGCTCTTATCTTTTTTCGGTAATTTCTACCGTAATCATCCTACGATAACAAGTTCAATTTACAAGCGCAACAATAGATACCTTGCGCCGCGAAACAAAAGGAAGCAAAAGATTGATAAGGCTTCACAATTTGCACAATTGCCGTGCCGTATTACTTATCTAATGGTTTACAATAAATTGTTTGCTTTTGCGTATCGATATGCAAAGCTATAATTTAGTTTTTAAAACTACGATTTTAACAATATTTAACAAAGTGATACGTATAAAAACACCACGGGCAAGTCAATCATCAACAGTCTAGTGATATTTGGATCGTATAAAGAGGCAATACCGTTTGTATAATGCCTATATTCCAAACGAGACTGTGGGAGGACTGTTTTTATAGACATGAGACTAAATCCACGTTTCATATATAAAATAGGCTGGATAGAATTTGAGTCAGTCAAGTCAACTTTTTCAATGCAGTACTTGTGTGATACGTCATATATGCTTCGATACGTTCTTCAAGTTAAGGCTGTTTTTAAGAAAGTAATAGTCCACATCCGTGATTGTGCCAATCGCCAATCGCTCTCCATCAGCAATGTAGACTAATTTGGGGAAGGTGCGAAGTATATCTCCTATAGAATTCTGAGTGAGTTGAAAGACGACAAGTGCGAAGTTAAGGCCGCGACGAAATAAAAGAACTATTTCATCAGCGAATATGTTTGTTAATTAGAATTTGTATAAATACCAAATCCAATTTTGTTTATATCACTATCACAATCTTTTGTTCATGTGCAATAATTTCAATTTACGATGTCTCCGTATTCATCTAGATTAGTTGTAAAATTGAAAAAAAGTGCAAGTAAATTGTCTAAAAAGACAGACCGTTCGTACCGAAAAGAAGAAAACATAACGCAGATGATGAAGGTGAATGAAAGAAACTCAAAATTTACATCAATCTATTTGAAAAGAATGCATTCACCGCCGACCACTACTCAAAAATGGAAATCTGACCAGGATTTTATATATGTAGATTCTCTCATGGCATCATCCATGTTTTCTTCTACCAAAGCTCACAATAAGGTAATTAAGTTAGCAAATTTTTTAAAGAAATTACGAAGGAATTTACATGTTATTGTCTTACACTCAGAAGAGTAAACCGAGCTGTATAACTCCCTTTGGCAACTATAAAGAAGTCGCTGAAGGTACTCGGTCGGTCACAAGGTCAATTCCACAATTTAGGTATTTGATCCTTACTCTCCGACCTTTATTATAAATATTTTGAACACCATGTTTACATGACCGTAATGGCTACATCTGCGCATTAAATCTTTTTTTATAACGTACAAGAATCATATTTTATTCAGAATTACACATCAGAACGCTATATCACAAAACCACCGAGAAAGATACCACAGAATCAACGACTTGTTAAAGTTTGTGAAAGAACGCGAACGGTTACCCCAACAAAACTAATTGCAAAAAGAGGAAATAAGGTCGAACCAACGTACGTCTCGATTGATATCATAAACAGAAAAATAGAGGTGATGGAAGAAGAAGATAAGCGAATATATATTTCAAATTGGAAATTGTCTGAGCAGTATGGTGGTATGTCAGATTATATTCAACAAACAAATTCTAAAAATCGACATAAAATTGCCAATGCTTGCAAACGGGCAAAATCTGCGTTGGAGAAGATGAAACAATCAAGACGTAAAAGTGCATTACAAAAGAGAAAAGCAACGAAAGCTCGTCTCAGTTCGACGCTTTCTAAACCAGCTGCAAATATTATAGAAAGACAACTTAAAGAATCTAGAATTCGGGGAAATAGTAAGTTATTCGACACGCGAAATTTATCCCGTTCTCAAAATGATATGCCTGTCGTGAATGTAACGTCAAACATAACAGTGAAGGATATTCAAAACGTTCTGACAAAGAAGAAAGCGTTCGTTATGGACATCGATGACACACAGATGCAATCAATTGAAGCATGTTGCAAAATTTCAGAAAACGAAAAAACAAAATTTGAAAGACCAGACTATAGGAGAACTACACTGAGAGATATTATCGGCGATAAAGGTAATTTGTATATATATTAGAATTCTTCTACATTAGAACGAATCGCCTATAATATCTAAATTTATTCTTTATGAATTTCTTGTAACCGTTCAATGGTGTGTGTACAGAAATTCCAAATGTTTTGAGAAATTAAGTGAAAAATGATTTCTTTTAGAATTATCATTGTTTGATACTATTCAGGTAGACTTGAAGACTTCCGTTATTTTTTACGATCCGAATATAGCGAAGAAAATTTGGAATTTTGGTTCAAATGTGTTTCTTACCGAACGATCAAATCACCAAAGTTGAGATGGCGAGAAAGTAGAAGAATATTTGATGAATTTTTGGCTCCTTATGCACCTAAAGAGGTAAAGAACTAAATATGATTGGAATTCAAATACAACGATAAAATTGATTTCTATTTCAAATTGATCCAAATTTAAAATTGATCCGTAGATACTTATCTCACTTTCGAACCTTTCCAAACCTTCAAATCTTTACATGACTGAATTTTGTACTCTGTATCAAACATGAAAAATTTGACTATATTTACGGAAAGATAGCTTTGAATAGAGAATAAAAAACTTGATATTTCAAATAATGCCATTCTCCTACCAGGTTAACTTGGATTCCAAAGTCAAAAGAAACACAAGGATTAATATTGAATTTCCTGATGAAAATACATTTTCTGAAGCTCAACTATGTGTCTACAATCTCATGGAAAAAGATTCTTTCAGAAGATTCATGAATGCCAGAAGACACACGCAGTGCTGAAAATATTTTTAAAATTAATTTTGTTCCAACATGTTCATATTTTTTTTTAATAAACGATTAATCGATTGATCATCTTCTCATTGTAGTCGTGGTTATTAATTCCTTACAATTCTTTGGTGAGTCTATCTACTACTACTATACGAAATTTATAAAACGTCAAATTTACCTGCTGCTTGAGTCTTGTAAACATGATATAGAAAAAGCATTGAATCGACATGAATAAAATCATCGCCAGATTTCCAATTCGGACTACAGACCGATGCAAGTCTTATTTTATTCATAATATTCAAACGACATATAAAGTTTTTTGACAAAGTACACATTTGTTTCTAAGAATTATTCTGAAACAAATATAAAAAACAAGTCAGTTGAAGTCAGATGAATAGTCAGTCTCCTGACTATAAGGCACGCTCACGCTTGATGAGATACCTACCGCGGGATTTTCGTCAGTTAAGACTTATGTTGAAAATACTGCGGCATTTCCGCGCCTTTTTCGATCATGTATTAAAACTGCGAGTACGTAGTATTGCCTAGTTATGTGTGATACTGATACCTAGTGGCAAATGACATGGACAAACGAGTGAACATATATATATATATATACTACAACTTTCGACAATTGTGAAAAAGTTGCCAATATCACAAAAAGTTGATTTGTAACAGAGATCAAGAGGGGATAGAAACAGCTAGTTCTCACTGTTACAAAAGCAAAAGAACAAACACCCCAACAAATAAGTTTGACACAAATACAACTACCCAGCCTAAAAGAAGGATAGAGCATCTGATATTTAGGTGACATTAGAAGCGTAGCACTAAATCTAACAGGCTACAAAACATGTTATCAGATTTTGATTTGGTTTCGGTACAATTACAGTATTATTACAATTACAGCTTTACATGATTTCGACTATTTCGACGCAATGAAATTGAGTACGTACATAAGAAGCCTTGCAAGGCAATGGCGGCAATGCCAATAGCGCAAATCGTTGCAACCATAAGTGGCGTGTACTCGCACAGAATATAAGAAACAGAAGAAACAAACAAAAATTCCGATTCCATTTCATTTGATAGTAGGCATATAATTTAACGAGGTTTGATAGTAAAATGGAGGCAAACAAGTCAACACTCTACTTCGCCTTGCAGAAACTTCGCTAGAACAGCGTTAAACACGTATAATATCATAAGACGCAAAAATCCCCCATTCAATTGTATTTTTTTTTTAAATCGTCCATTTTTGTCGTAGTTGCATTCTTTTGATTATGTTTTGTGTTCATGACATTTTTGGTTAATTTTGAAGGTCCCCCGGTCCGCAAACCAAAAATAGGTTGAGAACCGCTGTCTCAGACAGTCGTTATAGGCAAGAAAACTTATAGTAAAAATATGAAGCCTCTTGTTACCTGGCTGCTGAAAAGCGATTGGTTGAGTATATTTGTGATGTAAGTCCTACCTGTTGTAGGCATGCCATGTGCGAATAAAAAGAAGAGTACGTAGATAATTTAAAATATCGGATGTGTATTTGCAATTATTTACCATAAAAAATACATCTCGAAAATAGAATTCGAAGAATCGACAACACAACATGTTTATCGAATCTATTTAGGTTTGGACAATTAATTAAAACTCATATCAAATTCATTTTTGATTACCTATAAATAATATAGGATTTTCCCAATTAATTTTTCGAAACTGAACTTGATAATAGGGTGTCAAACCGCGTTCGTCAACATATTTTTCACACCTACCGCGTTGTTACTTGCAAAACTTGATTGTGTAATAAAATAAAGTATAGTACTGGCCCTCGACATGCCATCAAATTTCTCTTGTTCTGAACATGGTGTTCGGACCGGAGTTTATGTAAAAATTCTATGCGTTCATTGAACCACAACTATATCATATAAAAATATATATTTATTTTAAAAGACGTAACAAAATAACTGGAACAATTTCAATAATATTAACATGGATCACAGGAAATAAATAATGATCTGATCAAGTTTACAAAATCATATCAATATTATGTCTACGCGACATGGAAAATCTCCGGAATGAATCTGTTTCCATGAGGTTAAAAACACAACTTTTAGCTTCATCAAACGTAAATTTGTTTGGACATTTATTGGTTCTTTTCACATTTTGTTCCACTCTTCAATCGAGATTAACCTGAAATTAATAAAAACAATTAATAATGATGTACTCTTCCAAATAATAATACAATATTGGTTTGCACTTACTGCTTATACATATGTGAAGTTAATGAAATAAAAAACTATTATCAATAGAATATGATACAAACCTCTTCGTGTGCGGTTGGAGCTAAAAATTCATTAAATATTTGTCTGCATTCTTGCCATCCGAGTCTCGGAAACTTTTTTCGTTTGTAAGCAACGCATCTAATCCAGAAATCAAGATTTTCTTCGCTGAATTCCGATCGAAGAAATTTTCGAAAACTTTTGATACCATCTGAAAAAAATATAAAATCATATTAGTAAAACTTGTATGTAGTGACACCTGTCACGGAATTAAATGCTTTAAACAGTTTGAAATATTTTACCTTTGTCGCTAAGAGTATCTCGAAGGTTTGTCTTTTTCTGATTAGACTCGTTGAAACTTCCGAAATGTACAACTGAAAACATTGAATTTAGATCGGGAATCTTCGTTTGTGCAGACGAACCCATTAAAATATTATCCCATGATTTTACTGTCTTCATCTCTCGTTTAGCGACGCGGACCTTTGGTGACAGTATAAAGTTCTTTTCTTTTACAAATGACGTTTGTGGTTCCAACTTCCGTTCGGTTTTCCCATCCGTTCGGTTTTCAACTTTCTAAAAATATGTGCGGCCCGCCAATGACTTGCAACCCTTATTTTAGCACGTGAAAAAAGGTTGCCGACCCCTGCGTCTAAGCTTTGCGGATTTGATTTTTTCGAATGCTGATTTTGCTCTCTTACAAACGATTGCTATCCTGTGATTATGTTTAATTTTCCAATTGGTAACGTAATTATTTCTTTTATCTGATCTTCCCGGTAGATACCAATTGGACGTATAGGTCCGCTTTTTGCCCCTCTTCAATTCAGAAATCTTTTTATTCAAAATGTCAATGGAAACGTATGTTGATTCGTTTTTAATAGCATTTTTCAAAACCATTCTTTCTAGTTAGAGTGCTGGAACGCGCACGTGGGCAAACTCTGACGAGACTTCTTCTTTCTTTTTGTGTGCGTCGACATGAAGATCTCTGTCTCATGTTCTGAATCGAAAACAAAAATATATATCAGAGACAAACATAATACATGAGCTCTTTGAATGATGAAAATATAAACAAGATAAATCAAAGAATATTATTACTCATATATCATTGTTGGTACTTCTTACAGAAAAAATATTTTACAAATATTTTACCAGCTGATTTGTCGTCTTAGTTGCAGAAAATGATGACAAAGCTAGTAATAAATTGACATAAATAAAATCATAGGCAGATTTCCATTTTGGTATGCAGTTTGATTAAAATTGATATTTTTTTATATTATTCAAATGACAATTAGCGTTTTCTTGCTGAAACATATTGAATTTGGCCAAGTACTCATTTAGTTACAATTAAAATACTTCAAATGGTGATTCCACACTACAACTTGATAAATAGAGTATTTGTTTATACTGTTTTTGCAACTGATGGTTTATACCAGTTAGGTTTGTTATATATGTACGTTTCGAGTTATCTGAGTTCTACTTCTTGGAATATTTGCACTTTTTAACTAGCTTGAAATAACACTCTATTATCTGCAAACAGATTAATCTAACTTGTTGCTCCCGAGTACTGATAACTGGAATCCTATTATTTGCAACTTCATTTCTTATCTGTATTTGGTTTCCCTATTGTTCCGCGTGTAATAAATCCATTTTGACTTGTAAGTGATGTGTTTATCTATTTAATCGTTATTTTATACCGATAGAGCCAATAACAATAGAGTAATACTATTGAATTACCGATTATAAATGATAAGTCATTTCAATTTTTTAAAGGTTCAATTACCGGGTGCGTGCACATGAAATATCATCTTAATTTAAAGTAAGTTCAATCAACATTTTTAGCAAACTCTTCATTTGAATATTTCGCTAGGTTGACGAAGCATGACAGAAACATGGCATTTTATATAGTTTGAGAAAATGGCATTGGCGACATGCCACTGCACGCCTAAACTGCGTATTTGAATCATTGAACCCTATTCGAAAACAACATAATATTCGTACTGGAGTTTATGTCACAAGTTTTCTATGCTTTCATTGAACCACAACTATATCATATATATATATAAATATATCTTTATTTTAAAACACGTAACAATATAATTGGAACTATTTCAATAAAAATTTCACAGTGATTGCATGAAATAAATAATGAAGTAATCAAGTTTACAAAATCATATCAATACTATGTCTACGCGACTTGGAAAATCTCCGGAACGAATCTGTCTCCATAAGATAAAAAACGCAGCATTTAGCTTCATCAAACGTGAATTCGTTTGGACACTCAATGTTTCTTTTCACGTTTTGTTTCACTCTTGAATCCAGATTAACCTGAAATTAATAAAAACAATTAATATTGATGGTTTGCACTTACTGCCTATACATAGGTTGATGTTAATAATGAAAATAACTACTATCAATAGAATATACAAACCTCTTTGGGTGCGTTGGGAGCTAAAAATTCATTATATATTTGTCTGCTTTCTTGCCATCTGTGTCTCGGAGATTTAATTCGTTTGTAAGCAACGCATCTAATCCAGAAATCAAGATTTTCTTCGCTGAATTCCGATCGAAGAAATTTTCGAAAATTCTTGAGACCATCTGAAAAAATGTAAAATTACATTAGTGAAACCGCCACGTGTTGTATCACATAGTAATCATATTGCAATCGTATGTCACGGAATTATATGCTTTGAACAGTTTGAATTGTTTTACCTTCGTCGCTAAGAGTATCTTGAAGATTTGTCTTTTTCTGATTAGACTCGTTGAAACTTCCGAAATGTGCAACTGAAAACATTAAATTCATATCGGGAATCTTCGTTTGTGCAGACGAATCCAATAAAATATTATCACATGATTTTACTGTCTTCATCTCTCGTTTAGCGACGCGGGCTACATGAGATTTTTTGGAAGAAACTATTTCTCCCATTTTATGTTCATTGGTTAAAGCTTTGCTGGCAATACAAAGTTCTTTACGTTTACAAATGACGTTTGTAGTTCCAACTGTTGCACTGTTTCCTTTGATTCCAGCCTCGATTAATTGTTTGGCAATGATGTTTTTGACAGAACCAGAAAGAGCAGAACTTAATCTGGGTTTCGACGTTTTTATACCTCCAAAGTTACTTCTACGCTTTGCTGATTTGATTTTTTCGAATGCTGATTTTGCTCTCTTACAAACGACTGCTATTCTGTGACTATGTTTGATTTTCCCATTGTTACCGTCATTATTTTTTTTATCTGATTTTTCCGGTATATACCAATTAGACGTATAGGTCCGCTTTTCGCCCTTCTCCATTTCAGAAATCTTTTTATTCAAAATATCAATGGAAACGTACGTTGATTCACTTTTAATAGCATTTTTAAAAATCATTCTTCTCCTAGTTGGAGTGCTGGAACGAGCACGTGGGCAAACTCTGGCGAGCCTTTTTCTTTGTTCGTGTCGAGACGAAGATCTTTGTCTCATGTTCTGAACAAATTAAAAAATATATATAAAATAAGAAACCAGATAAATCAAAGAAAATTATTCTTAATTCCTCATGTTAGAACCTCTATCGGAAGAAATATTTTACCTGCTGATTTGTCGTCCTAGTTGCAGCAAATATTGACGAAGCTAGTAATGAATCGACATAAATAAAATCATCCGCAGATTTCCATTTTGGTCTGCAGTTTGATGAAGATTGATATTTTTTCATATTATTCAAATGACAATTAGCGTTTTCTTGCTGAAACATATTGAACTTGGCCAAGTACTCGTTTCTTTGTAATTAAAATACTCCAAATGGTGATTTCACACTACAACTTGATAAATAGAGTATTTGATTATACTGTATCTACAACTGATGGTTTATACCAGTTAGGTTTGTTATATATGTACGTTTCGAGCTAATCTGAGTTCTACTTCTTGGAATATTTGCACTTTTTAACTAGCTTGAAATAACACTTTGTCATCTGCAAACAGATTAATCTAATTTGTTGCTGCTGATAACTGGAATTCTATTGTTTGCATCTTTATTGTTATCTGTATTTGGTTTCCCTATTGTTCCGGGTGTAATGGATCTATTGTTTGAGTTGTAAGTGGTATGCTTATCTATTTAATCGCTATCTAATACCGATACAATCAGTACAAATGCAGTAATAACCTTGAATTGCCGATAAGAAATGATAAATTATTTTAATTTCTTGAAGCTTTAATTACCGGGTGTGTGCACAAGTTCAATCAATATTTTTAGCAAAACCTTCATCTGAATATTTCGGTATGAATTTTAGTATTGCATTATTCAATATAGACGAAGCGTGGCATAAACATGAAATTTTAATATTGACTGTTAAAATGACATTGCATGCCACTGCACAATATTTAAAACAAGTTGCTAATTGTAGAGATAACGAATTTTTGCTATAATCGATTTCCGTTTTACAGTTCATAGTTGTGATCCAAATTTCCGCCCTCCCCCCTCTTTATTAGATTGATTCAACTTCTAAATTTGATTGATTCGTGAGAAATCTTGAATTATATTGTGTATATATGACACGCTATAAGATACGTATATCTATATGTATACGTATATGTATTCCCTTCTCAGATCTGGCAATTGGTGTATAACTTGCTTTACTTTTCATCAAAACGTCTTTGAACGATTGCCTCAAACAACTTTCAGCATCAAAGTCGTAAAATGTGAAATGATAGAAAGCGTACACTTTGTTCATTCTCTACCCCACTATCACAATGTTAATCTTCAATGAAATCTTCTGCTTGTGAGCCAATGTATTGAACAGTAGGAAAAATAATATAGATTAACAATAAATACACCAACAAAATTCGGAGCAAGGTGGGAGACAATATACACATGAATCTTTATTCAAGTATGCCGGTTCATTTTAATGTGGTCATTCGTGACCCAACATTCTCGAGATTTCAAGATATCGAGGGAACGAATCGGTCATCATCAATTTATAGATTTGGTTCTGAGCTTGATCAAATGTAGTTCGCCTTGGATTGAAAAGTTCGCATTCCACTCGTGCTCTTATCTCAGAGTCGACATTTACCTGTGAATAAAAATATATAATTTTATCATATATTTATATCATAGAAGCTTATCCAAGGATTTGGAGTAAATATCTAGAACATCCAGTGATGCATTCACAATTTTTTTTACCTTGGATGGCCTTCACTGAACCACAATTTCATTAAACCGAACCGACTTACTTTTTACACTCGAGATGACATTCAAATGATTTTTATGGTTGAAACGAATGAAACTCAGTTATGTGATCTCTACGCTCGCCCCACAATTGCGAAAGCGGGGTAAAATAAAATTTATTTTTATTCAAGTTACCTCTTTTAAGGTTCCGGGTACCAAATACTGATTATAAATTTTATTTGCGTTCTTTTTTAGTTTTTCTTCTTTCTTCTTTTTATAAGATTCGCAATCAAGCCAAAAATCCAAATTTTCTTCACTGAACTCTCCAACTAAAAAGTCGTGGAAATTTTTGCTGAATTCTAAAAGAAAAATAAGTAATAAGTTTCGAGCTTACATGAATAAATTAATTATTGAATGATTTCTACAAAATTTTAGCTTTTACAAATACAAACACTGGACGCTATATCAAGTTTCTAATAATTATATTATTATTATCTGATTGTTTTCTTGACGAATATGTTAGCACTGCGGACTAACTGGTTAAATTCTTTACTTATGACGCAGTAAAAAAAAATATTTCCACATTTGGTCTGCTGATATTAGACGATGGAGTGATAAACGTCTTTTTATGAATCATTGTAAGCTTACTTTTGTCTTGTAAGAGTGTTTTCAAACAATATCCCATTGACAAAGATTCTTGAGATGGTCGTCTTCCTCTCAGTCTGAATTCAATAAAAAGGTTCATTAAGCGTAAAGTAATATCGGCAAATGTTTATTAATTTTTCTTCAAACAATAGTGATGTTCAAAGTCGTACATGATTACCTTTAGTATGTTAAAAGTGCATTAAATTACCCAGACTTTTTTCAACCGAATATTTTTATTATATTAGAAATACATTGCTGCTTTCTATTTCCAGCTAGAATAATTATTTTTACTTGTATCATATATATATATATACTTGGTAGCTATAAGTATATGGTTGTTTACTATTTACCTAGAGTCTGTAAATGTTCGTTTCACCACTCTGGGAGTTACGGGGGATGACAGTTTTCCACGACACATTCTCGACGTAGATTTTGTTCGATCAATGTCATTAGATACTCTATTCTGCCACAGTGTTAAGAAATGTTCACTCCTCATTGATTCCATATTATTCTGCTGCATCGAATATCCGTCTCCTCGTCTTTTAGGTTTAAATTTTGTGATCAAATTTTTGAAAAAACTTGGGGATCGCTTGTATCGCTTTATTTCCCGAATTTGCTGTTGTGTGTGCTGGATTGACCGCTTTCTGTCTTCCCAGGATGCGTTAGAAAAATACGCAAACTCGGCTTTTGTTGAAGCTTTCATTTGGCTTTTTGAATTAGTGGAAACTGAGTCTAGAATAGGATTCGGTATCACGAGGCATTCCATGCGCTCAGAACTGGGTACTTGGCTGAGATGGGCTTGACTTTCGCAGTATTTTAACTTTGCCAATCGGACGTCAGCCCTTGTCATTGCATTTCTCCGTCTCAGTTTGCTGGTATGGCATTGTCGTCTGCTGGATAATGGGGTGTGCGGTGGTTTATGGTAGACAAAGTTGTTTGTGGATTTCATGTCATTCTGTGATAACGAGTTCCGTAACTTCTGTTAAAAAAATTGGGATTTAAATTAATATTGCGTTAAATAGTATGTACATTCTATAGAAATGTTTCGGGAGTAAGAAGTATCATGCTATTTTAGACAACCTAGGCATTGCCCATATATGAGTAAATAATGAAACAATACCTTTGCAAACCTCTGTCTTGTAACAACTTGTACAAATTTATCGTATAAAAATATTGAAACTTCTTTAAAATTGATACAATTTTTGCTTCGAAAAGAGATAGCTCAGTTTGACAGATGCCACCCTATATGGATATTTATAATCTATATGCCAAAGTTATGAAATAATATACCTAATATATATACTAATTGTGAAATTTTGTTAAGTCTTTGACCTAAGCATGCTACCGTATTTACAGCTAATTATTTCAACTATTTCTTAAGTTAAAGCATGGACCAATCAAACAAGCTTTACAGCACTTACTTGAAAATCATAACCTACAGAAGTCGACGTATTCCATGAGCTGAGCATTGCAGCTGCGACAGAAGGTCTTCTGTGCAGTATATTTTCGATAGGTGTTCCAAATTCTCCATCTATGCGTATCAGATTTCTCCTACCCTGACTAGGTGAAAATATATTTGAAACATCAAATATTCTAGATTTTTGCCTTGTAGCCATAACTTTACTATTTAACTGTAACTTTGCTGCATCGAAGAAAACTATGGCAAAGTGTACCTTCTCGTCTCTATATATACGAACCACGTAGTCGTAAACAATTTCACGGTAAAAACAACAACACCGTACAGCATAAGGTTCTACCGTGTAAATTTAATTAATTATAGCAACGACCTTTTGTTACGTATTCGACGTGACGTTGCTCTCGCACCGAGATGAGTTCCGTAAAATTGTCTAGGGTTTTACGCACGCGTTTCGTAAGCTTGTCATCTAACAGGATAGCGAGTGCAAACAAATGTCTATCACTTTGTGTATCAGTAACAAATAATAACATTTGACTTTATAATACTTTGAGGATTTGAACATTTGTGTCTTGATGATTTCATAACCCGTTTTCATTTAGTTGTTTTTATCAATCATTTTATTGCCTGTTATGCTGATTATGAAGTTGGAATAAACTTATATAATTGATATCTGACTCGAGAAATTTTTGGCCCCCCCTGTATATAGTTGTTGCGAAGTGTAACAATGTATTGCTTTAGAATGTCAAAGATTTATTTGATGTTATTACTTTTTAATAAATTTTTAACCAATTTCTGAGTTTCTGTCAAATTTTTTAGTCCGCGACAAAAAAAAAAAACACGTATAGAAACGAAAAATAAACATCAATGAAATACATTTTTTTATAAATACCTGTGAACCATTTGCCGCAAACTTTTTAGTTTTGTTCGAAATATTACGATTGGAAATATTTATTATCTGTATTGTACGCAATAAATTATTTTTATTTGATAGAATAAGGTTAACGGTATATCGTGTTGACGTACATCGTAACATGATTTGGATCCGGTGATTACAGGATTGAACTCAGCATGTATAACTCACCTGGAGTGTAGACATTGAAAGACTTCAAGGAGAAATTTTAATCCGTATCTGTAATCCCATGGGGATAAATAAGTAAACACACATTTTAAGTTCGTTTGATCTTTTTTGACGTTGTTGACGATCAATATAAGCAAGTTCATGTTTCATAAATTCAACATGCCAGCAACATAAGCAACGATGTCACGTATTTAAGAAGTTAAAATTATTAGAATGCGCAATTGCATTAACTTCAGACAAGCTTTTGTTGAATTATTATTATTTGGTTTCTTTTGTAAAAAAAACAAGGCAAAAAAATCATGAATATATAAACTTTTTGGAATGTATTTGTAATATTTCATATAGCCTAATTAGGTTATATTTTCATAATAACGTTTTACCATATTAGAAGTGTTGAGAGGTTTAACTCACATATTCATAAAATATATAGAAAAATAGCTATGCTATGCTACGACTGTTAATTGGAATATTTCGGTTTGAAAAACTTTTTTTTTTTTTCAGTAAATGCACAACTGATGTCTTATAATATAGGGCGATAAAGCATTCAATTTATATTTGGATAATGTTCATTGTACAATATATTGTCTATCATAACACCGTATGCTGGCACTGCGGGATCGTCAACCGATCTGGCAAAACTGATTCCATCCTGAATAGTTTCGTATACATTTATAGAGTTTGACGCCGGTATATTTCCACTTGTCAATGTCCCGTTTTCAGTTTCCTCCATGGAACGGGGTTGTTCCACTGTCTGTTGTTGTCTTTTTCTACGTGCACAATAGATTGTATTATTAATACCATGACGGCAAACTTGGGAAATTATTCGCCCAACTTCCGCATGTTCATTAAAAATTAGTATACATGTACCAGTTGTTGTAGACTTTACCTAAATTATGAAGTACCCACATACTAAGTTATATGGTAAGTATCTACACTGGTTTTGAATTTGTATGAAAAAAAAACATTGTATTTTATGAGTTTTCGTTAAATTTGCAACTAACGTAATAAAAAATACTTGAATTTATAATTTTCATGAAAATCATTTACCTCACCAATCTGCAAAATAGAATTACTGCAACTGTAGCAACAAGAATGCCAATAATGCTTCCAAGAATAGCATATATGTGATTCTGATTATTTGAAATATCTGAATGGGATAAAATATTATTAGCTTAACATTATATCATTAACGTATTGGTGAAACTTTCGGCTATTGTCACCTCCATCCAACTTGTATGTTCATTGATTTAGCAAAGTATTCTGCTGATCAGAGTGAACTGTTTTGCTAAATAATCATCAGCATACAAAACCTGACCCAAATCATGATTCACTCTTTGTGTATCACTTCCTCTGGAAATTGTGAATACATTTTAATATTACATAAAAAGGGTTTATTTTTTTATGTATAGTCTGGTTTCTGTATTTACAATTAACTGTTGTTATGTGTATGTATATGCACTGCACAGTTATCTCAAATTCTATTACTGAAAGTGCAAATTCGAAGTTCTCTTTATTTCGGGATTGTATTTTATTCACAGTTGCTACGCTTATAGATGCAATTGAGCATTGGTATTTGCAATTTTAATAAATTTAATATTATTTTCTGGCATCGATTGGCTATTTTGACTCGAATTGCAGTCACGCAAAAGTAAAACACAAGTATTTATACAACCCAGTTCGTTCATGAAGATATACGGAAATTACCTCATCGCAGTGTTCAAATTTACCCAGCACTTTAGTTTGGTTTCTATTTTGAACGAAAGTTACAAACTAACTCGACAAAATTAGTATCGAACCTTTATTGTTGTTACTTCTTGTTTCTATGTCCATCACTGTGGTCCACAGGTCAGTTGTAGTAAATTCTTTCTTTGGTACAACACGCTTTCTGCCATATTCTGTTTAAGATCAGTTGATTAAAATAAATAACAGTATGTTCGATATTAAAATATAACTCCAGCTGTATTTTAGATTAAACATGTATTATATGTTAAAACACACATATTTTACGGCTGATCATACATGTGCAGAAGGCATTTCAGTATTTGCAGAAGTATTTTCAACAGTATATTTTATTTATATATATTATAACTTCTAATAAAAGTACACTATTTGAAAATACTTCATCTGAAAGGTGTTATACAGAAATGCGGATTATATGTTCTAATAGAATAAAATCGAGAGGTTCTAGGTGCCAAAAAAAACAAGATTAAATATAGGACACAGTTACCGACTCGAAATTTATGGACAAGAGTAGTGGACATAGAGTACTGTTATATTGAAATGTATTTCAGTTCTTCGTGAAGTTATTTAGTCGTACATACAGAAAAATATGAACATTACATACACCGATGCAGCTTGCTGTTTATGGTTATACTCCACGTCTTAAAGGTGCGAGTGTTTTTATATTGTATTATTGTTTTTAGTTACAACAAAGCAGAATAACCTTTGGAATGTTACTAACTTTTTTCGCCATCCGTTGGTACATGTATGCGTGGGCGTAGAGTCGACTTGCAGCTTTTGAATGAATATTGCAACGAAAACAATGATCCAGTCTGTGATTCATCTGATATGAACTGAATGGTCGGTGGCCAAGGGTTTGGTGTGTAAACTGTACATCCACTAACGTTGCAATTGCGAACACTTTTCTCCGTTTTGCTCAAAATAATGCACGTTTTATAATCTCTTTTCTGACAGAACATTTTACCTGTTGCAACATACAAATATCTACTTGAAAAGTGATAATTGATGATGATCAGATTAAGGATTTCACAGTGTCAATACATAGAAATCATAGTAACAACCATTAAATATATAAAAAAGGCTACATTTTTTCGCATAAACGTATTATCTTCAGTGAAGCAACAAGTGCCGGACTCGTCTTATATCTACCCACCTCCTATGATTAAAACATCTTCTTTGCAATCCTGACTGTTGGACTGTATATCGTATGGATCGATCTGGATTTTCACAAACGTCCATTCACTTTTCGGAGAAAATTTCCATTCACAGTTTTGGTTGTCGTTGTAACGACTGCCGGTAACATAAGAAATTGGTATGTTTCCGTTTCTACTTGTGATAGTCGAGGGGCTCAAATGACAATCTCCAAGAGTTAGAGGGAGACCTGAAAGATAAAATGCACTGCAGCATTATGTATATATCCAGTGTATTTGGTGTTATGTTGTCTATATTTATATATATATATATATATGTTCTTTTCTCGTATTGACTCACTCGTACACTAGTTTTCTATACTTCATTCCTACTTACCCAACCTCCAGCCATCGTATTGAACTCAAGCTAAGCTGTCTTTATAATTGGCTCTGCTATATGTATATTATTCTTTGTTTAGTTAAATATTTATAAAGTGGGGTAGATTCCGTAGATTTGTGTTTCTATTTCAGGCTGGTATGATCTTGTACATACATACCCTCTTGAACATTACTATTTGAAATTATATCTTACCGTTACGAAACGAATAAACATACATACATATTCACACACGAGAAAAAGATTGCTCAATTCGAAGCGACGTTGCCTTAGTCGTAAAAGAACTATATGTAGTTATATTACTATATATACTGCTGATACTATTATAAGTAAATAGGAAAATTGCGTTTCATTGCGACTATAGTGATTTTTATGCCCCCAACAACTTCCTTGCGATTATATACACAATAAATATTAGTATCTACACAACAGAACGAAGTATTACAGGTCGCAGCTAATCCACTAATCGAAAATTGGCATAAACTCATATTATTATTATTTAAAAATAAAAACAATAAGCACGGCTTTGTCTGATATTTTTGTGCAATTAGATCCTTACAAAGGAAGAAAGAGCATTAAAGATCTTTCAACTTAAGACAACGCGTTGAATTAGAATTAAAAGAAGCAGAACAATGAAACTGGAGTTCAAGTAAACATGTAACATAACTTGAATTTAAAATTAATCCAAAGTAATAATCGAAGGTAGCATGAAAATTCACTTACAACCGAGTTTCTTACCTGTTATAATAAATATAAATGCTGAAATCAAATTATCTGTCATCATTCATATAGATGCAAACTAGTAGTCTATTAGAACTCTGTTTAAATGCGTTATGGCGTGCTCATCTGTTTTTGGAAAGTTGTATCCGGTCTATTGAAATGGATCAGACGTGAGTCAAAGTATATTCTAGGTAATGCTATTTTAAATATCCTAAACTTCATCACTTCCACAAATTAGCATTCTCAGCAGGAGTGACTAATCGGCATTTGTTTCGCATTGAAACAAACTTCCTTATGTTGGAGTAGCTTTAACCAACGGCCAAAAAGCAATCAATTTACGCAAACGTGCGACGACAACGAAGTATAGTCGATTTATAGTTTCATGTTAATAGAAAAACCAATACGACATCTATGTCCCTATGTATAAATGGATTACTAACTATTTTATTACTAACTATTTTCAATCATGCTCGTTTATGACTCCCACCTCAAATAGAGGGAATTTTCGTGTTTGTACGTGCAGTGACAATACGGAACCTAATTGATACAAACAATTTTTAACTCGAACTTTTATGATATCGGATTTTTCATTTCAATATTTATATGTTCCATGTAACGTGAGTCATATGCAAAGCAAATAATGTCACTGTGCCGTTCCTGCTAATATTAAACATTGTCACGCAACCTTTCTTCAAAATTATGATTGAGTGCACAAAAAAGGAATATGTGCTTCAAATTAAGATAAACACTAGGGAATAGTTTATTTTATAATATTTTTTTCGGACGACTTTTTGACTCACAAACGCCCTATTGACTAAAAAGTCGAAATAAATTTATGCTCCATCCGTCTTTGGGCTCGGCGACGTGACACATTGTGCTTGCTGATTACGCTGCGTTGTTCTGCATACTGTGAGGGGGGGGGGAGGGGAATTATGTGGGAGATGATTTCTGGACTTCTTGTCGACGCAGGGTGGTTCATTTACTTCTTCCACCATCGAATCCATACATCTGAAACGAATAACTGGCAAACTAGTCCCATACCCGACATGGAATGGTAACCGGATGAGCGACCTTTGTTCGCCGTCTGTTTGGTTTTTCTTTCTCTCGCTAGACTGCTATACAATAAATTGGAATATTCTACGTTCCAACATCCATATAATGTCATATATTTTGACTTTTCTTAAAACTGTCCCGTTGTTGTCAGCGCCCCCAAACGGCCAAGCTGATAATCAGTGCCCCCATGATCACGGTCAGAGCCCCTACAGTTCTCGCAAACGTCTAAAGAAGGAGCGTTTTCGCTCGCCTACCTTTGGAAACACTGATCTATACGAAAGCATATATATATACTGCCATTTCTTGGTAAATACGAACGTCTATACAATATGTTTGTGATACGACCTAAAACGTCTATATCTGATGTAACTTTTGCAGATGTAGCTGTCTGTGAAATATCTGAAACGATTTTATTATAGTCAATTGTTGTTTAAACTGTGTTCGCGACACACTAGAGTGCTTCCACATATTTACAGGGATGGGTTGGGGTCTTGGGGATTTTTGGCGTCGCCAGGTCGACATCTCTCAAGAATCATTGTTCCCTTATTCTAAATTGAGAAATCATTACCGCAAAAAGATAATGCTCATACAAACGAAATTACACCACCGACGTCATCTTCCACTACTGGAAGACGCAAAACTTCTATACACTCTGAGAATGTCCTTGTTACCTTGTCGAACCGAATATACAAACTGGCTCAACCAAAGTCGCTGTATATACTTTAACTAACCAGACTGCTGCTGCTGCTGCTGCTCTGAGGAAATTTTGATTTCAAAAACGATATTTATTGCTTAAAATAAAAATTTGTCAAATACAAATATTTGTAGCTAAACCCTGATACTTGATGAGCTACCAATTTTGCGAAGATTGGAATTTTCTTGATTCATATATGGTTTCCCTCTAAACTACTACGACAATGTATTTGAAACTTTCAGTAGTTAAGAGTTTGAAAAGACTCATAAAACGACATTACTTGCATATATTTTCCAAACTCCTGAAGCTCTCAATTTTATCCCCAAACCATGCTAAACTTCGCAACCATGATTTTTCTTGTACATCATTTTCAGCGAGGGGGTGTTCAACAACTGTCATTAGAGGTTATATATATATCAGTACAAGTTTGTGCCCATATATTTAAACTTTGTAGAATTGTAGAATCGGTTCACAGAAATACGAATGTTTCGCTTATTTTTAGTATTCTCGTCATTTTTAATACTAATATTATTTTTCTATTGTCCGCAAATAATGAACACGAATATTAATTTTCCGAAATTACAAGACAAAAACGACAAAGACTTGTTGAAATTGATCTACAAAATGGCGGAATCTAGTTTCAATATTATTTACTCTAGAAACGGTCAAATCCAACTCATAAGGGTTTGCGGATTAATGGATTTAGTAAAAAAAATTGATTTGTGATAAGCCTGGACTTTTTTATTTCATTTTTAGTGTGCCGCAAGATGGCTCAAAGAGTTATCGAAGAACTGCGAAGAGAACACGCCTATCATTAGTCGAGCGTACTAGTCAATGAGAAACGTAAACAAATTCTATGCATTTAATTAAGTAACAAAATTAAGCTATAAAGATTCTTCTGTCCAGTGTAGCTTATTCCTTTTTATACCTGTAAAATTAAATATGTAACAGTTTGCCTTGGGATGAGAGTTTGGACCAGATTCGGCCTGGGATCGAATTCACCAAATGATATTGGGGACTATCAAAGGGCTAAAAAATCCAGAACGGACTTTGTATTAAGGTTCCGGATTTGAATAGGTCATGTGCCTTAAAAAATGTGGCCTTAATGACTCTGAAGCAAATCCTTACTTTCTTACACAATAGTGGTTGAAAAAAACTGATCACACTCATTTCTGAGTTGAGCTGTAAAGTTGAGTTGTAAAGTTGAAAAAGCATTGTATTTTGGCGTTTTTATTTGCATCACTGTCGATTCACAAAAATAAAAACAATAGTTTTTTATGCAAACAGTTTTTACATTGAAGATAGCGGTCATATTACATTTCATTAATAAAGAAAAGCAAAAGTCAATATAAATAAAACACACAAAATAATGTTAATGATAATAATAATAATAAATTGTACCATTTTACATTTTACGTCATTAAATTTTTAGAGTCTTTTTTATATTAATTAGTGTAGATTCAATGTATCAATAATGCTATTCTGCAATTATCATCGAACTGGGATTGTTAATGCAATAAACCCTAAGCAGAAGTGCCGCTATTTCAATTTTTCAGCATCAACATCGACAGGTCAGAAGGTTAAAAACAATTTTTTGTCCTTATGCTTGTAAGTTGTAATGCTTTGATTTCAACATAATAATTTTGAAAATACGAGGAAAAATCCTTTCGTTACGAAGGATTCAGGGTGCGAAGAAGATTTTTATGATGATTGTTTGACAGAGGGCCAGAACGTCGTTCATCTTTTTTCAAAGATTTGATGTTCATTGTTGATCTGTAAGATAAGTCATGTTTCTCAATAAAACCTAATAGAGATACTGTAATCGTTTTTTCACCAACCCTGGTTTAACGAAAGTACATTTATTATTCATATTTCTCAAATAGTTACTATGTATAACTACAAGAAAATGCAGTATTTTAACAAAGTATTTTTGTCAAAGAAGCGTGCTGCAAAATATTTCAACATTATATATTCGTTTCTATTTTAATGATTTTGGATTAAAATGGTTGTGTTGCTTTTCAGATCTGAGATAGTATCTCTTTATTTACCTTCAAGAATAACTTACTCGAGTACAAAAAAAATGTATTAATAGAATTATGCATACTTTTAGATTCTTGACTACCTCGTTACATAATGATTTAATCTTTAAAAGCTTTTGCCTAAATCGGAAAGTTGCACACTACTCTATTGAAACTCAGAAATACGTATACCACATCACAGTACAATGTACAGTACAATTAATATAAAATAAAGATGCCCGATTTCTTCAAATCTGGCATCGACTAATTCTACTAGAATCTAAAGTGAAGAATCTAGAATCTTTTCTTTCGTCATGTATTTCGCCTCATTGAACGCTTTCTAAATTGAAAAAATACACAGAAATATTCTCATAATGTTTTGGATACATACCTCATTTGGTTTATAATTCTAAGCATATGTTTTAGATTCTTCGGATGCAGTTAAGTTGACATCTTCATCGTCATCCACTGAAAATGGTTCAACTACTCAAATCACAAATAAAACAAAAAGTTGAATCATGCCAAGAAACTAAAATATTAGTTGTATTCATTTCTATGGCAAAATGATACAATTATAAAAAATGATAACGCTTCCAAAGGAGCTTAAAGTTTCGCGTGTTTAAATGTAGTAAAATCAAATACTGATAAAATATCCTTCGTCACAGAAAAAATGTGGTGCCGGCGTAGTATGTGACCTACATTATATTCTGGGTTATTCGATCATAGGTTGCTTCTGATTTATATACCAAACCAACCTAAAGTCGAGGTATAAGATCGAGAATAACATCTTGTGACTTTTTACCGCGTTGGCAGTGTTGAATAGCGTTCTTATTGTCATTTAATGTAGATCACAAGCTACACGAGAAACATGTATGCCAGCACCAATAATCTCAACAAAAAAACATGTCTTCACACTTACTTTCATTATATTCCATCTTATACCAAGGTGTCTTGTGTGTTTTCAATTTCTTGTATGGTCTGCAACATGTTCCGCGCTAAAGCATAGGTAAGAGTTTAAAAAACTTCAGAAAGTTTAGTAAAATGAAGTCACGAAACTTGAAATTACCCATATATATAAAGTTAAAATAAACATACTTGAAGTCGGAGTTTGCACTAGCACGGACTCAATTTAGATATAACATAAATAAGAAAACGGATTCTAACAACAGCAAAACAACACAATATAAGTACACCCCACCTTTTTAATAAGACAATACAAAGCTATTATCATAATAGCCAGGGCGGGAATTGACACACTCAGTAGCAATGTTAAATTCGAGGAAAATCGTTTCATTATTGATTCAGTTGAAGTGTTTTTCGGCGTTGCTGGCGCCTCTTTTTTGTCTTCATCTAAAAATAGTATTATTGATAAAAATTAGTCTTAGCAATATATAACATGAATTGTATTTTTTTTATCTGCTCAGTGAGTGCACTTCTTAAATCACCAGAATGAAAAGGTAACACTGTTCTATCTTTTGAAAAAAGGTAATATATGTTTTACTGAATCTGTAAAAGTCGAGTATATGTTGCAAAGATCTTTTTTTTAGTTAGACAATTATGCGCATCAAGTGGAGTTTATATCTACAATTACACTTGAGGTGTATGTATTGGTATAGCTGACGTAACAAGGCTTACACCAATATAGAAACTTCCCTATAACCAATGAATTTCCATGAATTCATTTCGTATTTTTTTAACTTCTGTGTCATTTACTTGCAATAGTGTTATGCATATACCAACCAAAACATAAAAAAAAACATTTAAGATTTTAAAAGTAACCCATCAAGTTTTTATTAGTGAATTTACCCGGTTTCTCCGTTCCAAGCACTTCTCCTTCTTTAACTGGTTTAATGCAACATTGTCGAACTTTTGCTGGACCTCCACAAAATCCTTCTTGATATTTTTCGTGACATGGTGTTGCAATGCTCTGACATTGACCCCCTTTCTCATTGCACAAATCATCATCCTTCTTCCAAATTTCCAAATTTTTTATATCTGAAACAATCAGCAAAGTTAACGTTATAACTGATATGTTGATACGTTCGTTAGTTCAGCTAAATCAAATTAATTCATAGCGTTTTTTTTTCGGTAAAGATCTTGAGTTTTATTTCAATATTTTAGTTTCGTTTATGGATGTTTATGTTTCAAGTCCGTTCACTTTGCATATCGTTTTTGGTTATATTTCGAAATTTTGAAGCATTGATTTTTTTCACTTAAATTGAATTATTGTATGCCCGTATTTGAATCTTTATTAAATTCAGATGTCAATCCTATTTCAAGAAGTCATAGAACCATACTATACCTGGAATACAACACTTCCTATATGATGGACCACCACATTTGCCGTCTTCGATTTTTCCGGTGCAATTTGCTGAATCATGCTGACAAGAACCAAATTCGAGAAGACATTTTTTGTCATCATCTTTTGCCCAGGCCTTCACCGTTGCTTTATCTAAAATCCAAAAAGAAATATAGCGACTAGCGACTAGTTGGACTGAAATAGCAATAGCAGCCAGTGGGCGTTCAAATCACATACAGGCAATAATACCAGAAATATGCCATACTTAGCAGAATCCATCTTGATTTGCATTATATTGTTTGGTTTGTGGTGTGAATTTCATTAGACTAAATGTAAACATAGCAGATACCTGGAACGCAACATTGTCGCTCATCAGGACCTCCACACATCGATTTGTTTCGTTTACCCGAGCACGATTTTACAGCAGCAGTACATGTACCCCAGTTTTCATAACATTTTGCGTCGTGATTTTTCCATTCAGTCTTAACATCATTGCCTGCAACAAAACAAATAATTAGAAATTTTTTTTTGATAATAATATATTATAATTATACAAGTTTATATATTTGTTAAAATAACAAAACAAAAAGGTAAAAGGTACCCGGGAGACAACATTGTCTCTGTTGCGGTCCTCCACACGTTCCAACTTGATACTCTCCTTTGCATTCTCTCAAATTCAGTTGGCAAGTTCCCAGAGACTGTTCACAGATTTTATCGTCCTTTATCCATTCTGCAGCGTCTTTGGCATCTAGAAAACGGGAGTTAGAATTTGTTCATTGTTTCCACACATTTTTCACAGTATTTATAAATAAATTTCAATGTCATATATTATGAAAATAAAAGAATTGAAGCTAACATTAAATGAATTTAGTTTGAACATTTGTTTATTTTACTTTTTTTAAACTAATATTCAAAATAATAAATAGATAGTCTTCATACCTGGTGTACAGCATCTTCTGTGTGATGGTCCTCCGCATGTGAAATCTTTAAACGTTCCTGAGCAGTTGTTTGTGTCCAACATGCACTCACCAAATTGACTGATACAATCTTCGTCTTTGCTTTCCCATGAAGTCATTTCTCGTTGCACTGAAAAATTGTAAGGATATTAGGAAATCAATATAAGTATAAACAATGACAATGGTTGAAATAATTTTAGTGTAGCTCTGTATCTGGATGGCCATCTATGACATGTTTTATGTTTCAACCCAAGAAAAAATATCTTTTACGAATAACGTATATTGCGGTATTGCTTAGAGGAACTGAGAAATCTCTAGTTTGGAATACAGCCAACACAAATTTTCAAATCCTATTCGCTGTGGTGGTCGTGGTTTATTAGCCCATGAACTGACTAGCAAGGAGTGAGAACAATCATTGCGCGATAAGAACACAGCAATATGTAACTGAAATCCTTACGGTGAGAATAGTATTTTATACAAATTCCCATCATGCATTGGCTAAATTCTTTCATTATGACTACTACTTACTCGGAGCACAGCATAATCTTCTTGGTGAGTCTGAGCAAAGTCCTTTTAAAAACGCCCTGTCGTCTGAGCAAGTATCATTTGCATTCATACAATCACCAAAATTTACGATGCAGAGCATATCCCCATCATCGTGCATGTGAACTGTAAAAACTTTAATCAATTATATTTACAATATATAATTAGAAAATGATTAAAATTTCAAGTAATAAAGTTCGTAAGATTGAGGTTAATCCAAAACGATACAAAAACGAGAATGCGTATAAGCAATGTATATAATGTAGTTTGTAGAAGACTTTTATACAGTTTAGATATTTTTGTATGAGATGCTAATTTAGTAATTACCATTATCCTTTTCTTCTGCGTGTGTTGTCGTCGCTGCAGTAGAATTTACATCGAATGTTATTTTTGTGCTCGCTGTAGTCGAGGTTCCATTTTTGTCGCAGGAGGAAAACGACGATAAAGCTAATATACACAGACATAGGCGAACATGAAAATTTCTGCAGAAAAATTCAAAGAACATGATAAGAAAAAAAATCTAGATTACTTTTCAATTATTCATTTTTTATTAGACTTTTTAACAACCTGATATAGACAAGAATCAGAATCAATTTGCTTTGGAATGACCAGAATAATCTCTCTCCGCCATTGCCTACTAAACTTATACCAACCTGGGTGAGGTGGCAGACATTGGGATTCAAAATAAGGTAAGATGGTTTAGTCCGAAGTTTTACCTAATAAGTCTTGTTGCTTTCTTGTGTGCCACCTTGTACGGATGAAATGTTGAAACATCTCATAAATAACCATGGCTTATATTATGGTATAATAGGTATATCTCTAGAGTTCTAGACCGTTTTACCAAAAGATGTAGCAATCATATTATTTCATTACAGAATTACCTTACACAAAACTCACAACTCACAAAACTCACAACTCACAAAACTAATGTTTATTTTCAGATTCTACTAGTAAGTGAGGAGGTTTTTATTTATAAGTTTAACTAAGTAAATTTGCAAATACATTATTTCACCAGGATATGTATTGCGAGTTGCGACGAGAGAGAAAATATGCTCAAGTTAAATAAGTGATACATGTTAACGGTCTCGTGACGTCATTTCATAGAATAGTGTCATGGTGACAGCGTCTCAATCATGGTTGCCAATAAAAGTCCTAATTTGATTGTAATTATTAATCGTTACATCATTAATTGACTACAACTACTTTTTTATATACTTACGGGATCATTTTTCTTAGAAAGATTATTTTTTTCCGAATTCTCATCCGCTTCAGGAAATTATAATACTAGATTATAGAGATTCTTCAATGATATAAATTTATACAAAGCTGTTAAATAAAACGAAAACGCTTTTCTGTAATATGGCAAATAGAAAAGAAGATCAGATTAGAGAAACAATATAAATATTCAATTTATAAAGACTATCGCGCAACTCATTTTAATTGAAATTGTCGAGCCTCAATTAGGGCTCCTGTATCTAACAGCACTAAATCCCAAATAATTTCCAGACGGAACTATTCACTCGTTCAAATTTTTCACACAATCAGTTACTACATTTTTACATGCTCCTGCTACATTTTACTTTGAACATCATTTGCGAAATGGATATAAAATATTCGCTTTGTCGAACCCTTCATATTTTCTACAATTATCGACCCAGCCACATAAATATATTTACTACAAATTTATAGTGACCGATGAATACTAATTCTCGACGAACACCGAGAAACTTTCTACTTTATACATACACATAGACAATGCTGCGTCAACCCGACACGATAACTAAAGGATGCATCATTAAGGCCAAATCTTAATAATAACAACAATACTACGGAGCAAAACAGATTATTTCATTGCTTGCTGTTATTAAGATGAATTCAATGTGACTGCTGGCGGTTCATTCGTTTTCCGGTACATAACGCAATAGCGGAAAAGCGTCACGAGCGTTTATGTTTGTAAGCGTACGCAGAAGAAAGCTGCTCAGTTCTGCCACACGCAAAAAAATGATATGTCTTTCTGTATTGATTAAGCATGGTGTAAAACCGCTATCCCTGGGCCATGTTATGGCACTGGAGATTCTGCTTTAAATCTCGAGAATTAGCGCGAATTGATCAACGAAAAGCGGAAAGACTGTGTCGAAATTTTGCGTATTCTTCACAAAGGAATTCGTGGTTCATGTTGTGTTTGGTTCTTTGTCTTGAGCATATCAACACTTCCCAAAAATGAGTAAATATTCTCATGCAATAAAGATGATTCCAGCTTTACCCGAATCTGGAACTCTTTTTAGAATCAATGATTTAGTGACACGAAAGAAATGCACACACTATTACATAACAGTCATGGTCGTATTATACATGGGATATACATAGAATATGATTCATAAACTTGTTAAATAAAACTATAACGTCGTCGATTTTCCCGCCACTAACTTGACTGCATTCTTGTGACTCAAGTTTGAAGTGAATGTGTCTAACTTGCGTACGTAGTCATTTTTCTAATTCTTATCCTCATGCAAAAATGCTAATTAATCATCATTTGTTATTATACAACCCCTTCGTAGGAAACATACGACGATGAATACGTTAGAACATTACAGCATGTTCTCAACATGAGGAAATAACGGTATCTGTCATTTAGGCATATGGAACAAACAGAAAACAGTTGCAAACGATTGTTTCTGAAATCTTGGGAATATTGCAACCATAACTTCGGTTACATAGAACCTCGGTCGAGAAGTTTGGCTAATATAGCAATAACATGCCGAATAAGTTTGAATTGAATATCTTTGACAAAAAAGCCCACACAGATTACCTATTAAACTTTCTCCATCTATCCAAAAAATAACCCTTTTGACATCCTAAAGAAAAATATTACGAATTGCCACCTCGATTCATATCCCATTTTATATAATCTCTTGCGCCGCACATTGGATATAATAACCTTATAAAATTTAACTTGTGATATCATCCCATTGATAACGCAATAGAACTCTACTTAACTTAGACACAAGGGGTTAGGTTTAACGTGGCGCATTGTTACAGCAATATACTTATGTTGGTGGTCTCTCGAAGCCAAGTGAAAATGTACTCACTCTTTATCGTAGACAAAGTCTTAGGGTAAAGACATAGTGAATTTTGCTGTACAATTAGCAACTCTAAACTACTCTCTCAGGCAAACTCGAGCTAATTCCCCTAAAACAATATTAAGTTAATGTTGTTAATTACATCCGCTGCGTATAGAAGATACAGGAAGTAGCGCTGTTCGTCATCGGTACGGACGAGGATAATCCAGACAAACGTCAGAATTAATATACCGAAGCCAACTGTCTCATTCTGACAGAAAATTTAGTCAATAGAAATAACGAAAAATCTAGATTTGCCTGCTGAATATGAGCATTTTTATTCGTCTTATGTTCATCACTAATTCCTGAATACTAGGCTGATAATTGAGCTATAAGAGTCAACAAAAACCAAACATGAGTTCCTCGGTCAGATCCAGTGCTCATATCCAGTATATTTTACCACTCTTGAATATAACTTCTAATACAACCTGCGAGATGACGATACTACCGGACCCAGCCACATTCATCCTTTCAACGGTCCTTACATTGATGAAAATGAACTCTCACATCGAAGGACCTTGAAAACCCTTATATAATTGAATGAATTTCCTTCGTCGTTACTTTTTTTAATTTGTGCACATGTTATTGTTATTAAGAACAACTTTCCAACGTATCCAGCTGCTTGCTGGATTGCATATGACGCACTGTGTAGAGTGTTGAATAGACGACTATGCGTGCGTTACGGATAACGTTAGCTAAAGCAAACATTGCGACCATGTGGTGTTTTCTCACGACAATAAGTTCTCGCTTGCCGTTAATTGTATCGTCTTAATTCATAAACCACAATTCATTGTTGTCGTTTGAACATTGTAGAATAAATCCACCTTCATTACTAATACACTATGACTAATTTATAATTATTTTGACTATTAAACTATAGAGTAAAAACATTTTTCGACAATTTTTTTGATATGAAACTAACTATGTTTCGTATATTGACTAGTTTGATTGACTTCCAGATTGGTTATGTGTTTAAGTTAATGCGATTATATAGATCTGATTAAAATTTATTTGACAGCAGTATACGGTTGACCATATCTCAAGCACACTATTTTTGTGTTGATGCCAAAATATCTTATAATTATATCCCAGACATTCGATATTTAATTCTAAAGCCCATATTTGCTGTAGGATTTACTTTAGCGAAATGTGTGATTATCCATATATTAAACTGCTGAATATCACTTATGATTAATTTGATACGCATTTTTAATCGCTTGTAATAATTCTTGAAAACAAAAATAAACATGGGAATAAATATTAGTCTGAAAATAATCTTCATAATTAAATTGCCATAATACCGATTTCGTATAAATATTAAATAACAGCGTAGAAGATTATTTCATGCTCATATTTGACTAAAATGCAATACATGCTTATCTTTGTCGAAAGTCAAACGGCCAGCGACCAAGTTAAGTCAATATAAGTATCTTCAAGTCGGTTCAATTTGCCAAGTATCGATGGCTTGAGACAATCAATTTCGAGTCGTATGGGCAAAATTCGTATCTACCGAGGCTCTACTTGATCGTGATCTTGACTCCTTCAACCGATTCAAGTCCAGTTTAGTGATTGAGAAAAAATCAGGCCATTTGCATAGACCCACTATTGACATAATCCAGAGGTGACAAACCTGCGGCCCGCGGGCCACATGCGGCCCGCCAAGGAATTTCGTGCGGCCCGCGAGTCATTCAGGCGATTCAGTCATTCAAGCGATTACTGACAACACTATTTTCAATATATCTTGTTTTGTTGAATCAACAATGGATTATTCATTAAAATAACCACTGTCTTATCCTAGTTACGCCGTCTTATCGGTAAACGCATAGGAATTAATGGGAGAGGGGTAACCTTACTTTGTGAAAATGTAATGTTTTGGCGAACGATACACGGGACATTTGAAAACTAAAAAAAATTTTATAACTTTAGCTCAGTTTTTAAAACAATGGAAGATCTTGAAAAAATGTCGAATATCTAGTTTTGATTCGTATTTTCGCAATGTTAATAATTATACAAATTTGATATGTTCTTGCAACACTGACTTTGCTTTATCCCATTGCTACCGCCAAAGATTATTCTCAGATATCGAAAATCCTGGCTTGCAGTTGAAAGTTTCCAAATGGTCAATTTGTCCTAATATAAAGCGTTTAGTGAAGCAAAAAAGTTTTCAAAAGTAAAACGCATTGAATGCCCTATTTTTCTTTTATGCTGCAATATATCATTGAATGCCTTCAGCTGTATGGATGCAGTTGTTTGTTTTTGTTGATAAAAATGAAAAGATATCATAATATGACTAAACACTTGTGCGGCCCGCTCACTCAGCGGTGACTGATAGAATGACCCGCGATAGCAAATGGGTTCGTCACCTCTGCCATAAACCTAACCGTAATTTGTCTATACCTTTATATATATTACAAGTCAATGTGGGTTGCTCAATCAAAGCCCACCCCTCAAAGTGTAAAACCAGGGGTCGTTATCGAATATAAAAGAACAAAAAATAAGAAATAAAAAAATGAATAAAATGCTCATTATGACCCTATTGCAGTTTCGCGCAATGCTTGATAAGACTTGAATGTTGGAGATTCGGGCTGTCAAATTATCAATACTATCACGTTATAGGGTATAATCAGTGTAATTTTTGTTTAGTTTTCCGATAGTTTAAGAAGGTGCAGTAGCGACTGAACCACATTTAGTGAAATAATTACGCAGCTACTTATGTCATCTAGCGGAATTATTTGTTGCCGTCCTGAACGAATATGGCCATATGTATTGTTTATATCTATATAGAATAAACAGCACTGTAATATATATAGCGGCTCTTATATTTGGCCAGACCAACTTGTTCTTTAATGGTAATATGAAAAAATTCATGTTTTTTCACATACTGAACTTTCTACACGTTTACGCTGTGGGGTAAACGTGCATATGAATGAGCAAATTTCCCAAAGCAAAAAAAATTGCAAATTTGTTCAGCCAAAATATGATTAATACGTATGGTTAAGGTTGCACAATGAGCGGGTAACAGTTAACACCCAAGAATTCAGACTCATTTTCAGTCATCCTGTCTCTGTGGTATGAATACGCAGAATTCGCTTACCAGCATGTTATCATTGACTTAACCATTGTGGTTGTTGCCATCAATATTTATCAGATTATTCTCCGTTAATATTCGCAGAATATTCATCAAATACAATAGCACCGTAGAAACATGAACGTTCTTTCCTATTTGATGGTTAGAGTGACGTCATTGACGGAAAACGG